GAACTCAACCCTTGCCTTCCTTTGGAGGAAGGGATTTCCTTTGCTTAGGTTTTATGCATTAAACCTCTTCAAAATTGAAGGTGGACAGAGTAAGATCACAAACTTGTGGCAACTTTATCCCTTTGGTTTCCAGTGATACTTTATGAAAATGGCACCCCCATATATATCTGTCTGGATATTTAGAGAACCACTTGTACTGTTAAAAACAGTGTTGCTGAAAAGTGGTGGTCCAGAACTGTTGACTAAAGTCCCTGGCACATTTTCAGAAAAGAAGAAAAAACCCAACAAGCACAGTTATGGTATGGGCATCATAGGAGAAAAATACTATTGTCACACTCCATCAGATAGCTTGAGGTGTTCTGGTTTAAAGAAAAGATCATAGCCTTAAGAATGGAAGTAGTTGTACAACTGCAAATATTGTCCAGGAAATGTATGAGACTTTCCCCCTATCTAATTTGTTGTTAGCTGAATCAGCCATTAAAAAAAGAAAATACGGACTGCCCCACTTATACAATTGATATTGAACCAGATTGATTGACTGAATCCTCTCTTGATTATCCCCACTGCCTTAGTAAAGGGATGGTATACCTGTCTCTGGGCTGTGTTATTGCTACGTCTCTCTCTGTGTGTGTGGTGAGGTGTTACCTAAGTGCTTCTATGTTAAATGCTTTTGCAAAAGTAATTTTCAGGAAAAGACAAAAATGCAGTACTTCTCTCTTGGCATATAATTTCTTTTTGGCTTCTTTTTTGAAGTAGCATTTAGTCTGGTATTTTCCATATCTGCACTTTAAAGTATTATAGCATAGACATTGATTTCCCACCTCAGTGAGAATTAGGATTTTGATTCTTATCTTTAAAATGGAAAACGGTTGCTAATCTTTCATTCATCCCCTTGCAAAAAAACTGCTGTGCAGCACCTGCTAATTCCAAAGTACATGTGTGTGCAATGTATTAGTATTAATTCCGCTAGCATATGTGATGCATGCTGACACCTCCAGGTGGGGCTGGGTGTAGTCTGCATTTCAATGTGAAAATGAAGTGTGTCTGTCAGTTACATTTAGTGTTGTGCTTGCATGAGATAAGAGCTTGCCTGTGTGCTGCCTAATACTGGTCCGCCATAAAGGATTTGAATTGGAGAGGCTGGAAGTACCCTTTTATATCCTAGATCAATACAGAGCTTGTCGAATTTCTGCTCATTTGTTTGCTTTTGGCATGAAGAGGATTAAATTGGGTGCTCACTCTCCCATGGGGAGTAGAAGTTGCTCTTGGATAAGCTGCCAATTATGCCCACCTGCATTCCAGGTGGTGCTGTAATGCTGCCGTAAATGTCTTGAGGTAGTTGGCACTGTACTCAGACATTTCTATACCTTTGTTTTCAATGTCTCCAAGATAAGGAGATAAAGAACTGTATTAGTGGCCGTTGTGTTCATCACGAGAGAAAGAGAGAATGACATAATACTGCAGCCTTACACAACCGGCCATCTGCATTGCCGGGCTTGGCTTTTGTGGATTTGATTAAAATGTTCTCTAAGAATCTGTAGATCCCCTGAGGCATCTCTATAGTCAACTTGCACTTGAAATTGACCATAAATCCTAGTAGAGAACCAAGGGATTCCTAGAGAGAACACCTATCTAGGAATCTCTAGGTCCTGCAGTGCATTTCTTTTCAGCAGTCAGCAAGCATTGACCACAGAATTGTGCTGGAGGACTGGGAGATTCCTATAGAGATGCTCTCACCAAAAATAAAGTAGCGTTTTTAAATTGAGTTTTTCACTTTCATATGAACCCTTTGTCCATAATCTCAGCGAATGTAGAGAACTAACTGTAAACCTTTTTCAAATACATGTGTGTGTATGTGTGTATTAATTAATATGTGTTAAAGAGATGGAGATACACAAGCAGGACAGGTACAGAGGAGAGGAGCCCCAGTGCTGAAATAACAGACTGGACACATCACCATAGAAGAAGAGTTCCATTGCTTTTTAGGAATGTTATGGTTTTCAAATTTTTGTGATTTTATTGATGAGATTTTACGCCCTATTAATTGTACTTGTGTCATTGTATTTGTGCTTATGTATTGTTGTCTACGTGTGGTACTTGGTGTGCTTCTCTGAGCCGGCCGAAGTTCCTTTGGGGAGATGGTGGCGAGGTACAAATAAAGATAAAGGTTTATTATTATTACATTATATAGCAGAGACTATGAGAGATAACAGAAGAAAGAAAGGAGAAAGGGGGATGGCTGGGATTAGCACTAAACTAAATATGATAGTGGATTGTTTGAAAGCCTTGCACAATCTATTTTACTGTGTTGCTGTGAGAATAATATTAAAACAGTTCTGCACCCTCCCCCCTGACTCCACTATAAAGTGCTGTTTGAGGATGACGCTGCAAGAACTGAGAAAATATGGGACAGAGGTGATTTTGCTGCTGCAGAAATGACCGTGAATAAGGAGGCCTGAATGGAGCTTCATTAGGGAGTATAAGAGTTTTCTTCTTGCAGTACAATTAACAGTTTATTCTTATGTAATCAGGTTCTCTGTCCAAAATAATAATAATAATAAAGGCCAGTTTGGTAATTAATCTAATGATACAGTCCCCTCTGAAATTATGCAACCGGAACAATGTTTGTTCCACACACAATGAGCTGGTAGTTTTTTACTTGTATTTTTTGCAAGGCATGAAGTAGTTCCTGCTTATCACATCTTCCTTCCACCATCTGAAATGCTGATTGTATAGATGTATAAGCAGCTACTCCCCTTTCCTGTGGCTAGGCAGATAATAGTTGTCAGCTAAAACTGGCTGGATGAAAAAGCACCCCAGTTGGGAGTGGTTGCTGCAGAATTGGATAGTAGTCAAAGGGGTTTTGCGCAAAGAACGTGCCAGTACATTTGAGACCATTAAGCCTTGTCTGTGCATAATGTAGGGCAGTTGCCTGTGGCATCCAAATTTGAAGCCAATTTCAAGTTGCAGCAGTACAGAACAGACAATGGCGCTTTTCAGAAAACAGATCCTGCACCAATTTATTGTAAAGTTAATCAACCAAACTTAGATCCAGTTTCTTTTGTGAAATAATATATGTGGAACAGTGTTATTATTTTGTATGCAGTTCCTCCCTCTCCATGAATTTCACCATTCACCACTAGTCCACAAAAAACCTTGATATTACCATGTGATATACCATTTCACTATGCCACTGTATGAGATTGTGTATCCATGGGTTTTGGTAACCATAAGAGATCCTGAAAGCAAACACCAGCAGATATCAAGGGCCTTCTATATATTAAAAGTGAATGAATAACAGGCATTTTAGTGTGTTGTCTTACCCTAGCTATCTGTAACTGACAAAATTGTGACATTTTCTGGAAGAAGCCCAATCGTGTTTCCAAATTCAGATTCAAGTGTTGTGACCATTTTGAAAATAGTGTGTAGTCATGCTTTTTAGCCTAGATGAGGAAGTTTATTGTTTAACATCTGTACGAAATATCCGGGGGAAGTAATCCAAAGATGCCATGTTAGGTGATACACATCTATATCTTTGTTTCCAGGGATGCTGTGGCTTGGACGCCATTTTGTAGTGAATTAATCTGAAGCTTAATTTAGTCACAGTGGAGGTAGTCTGAGTCTCTTGATCTGGAGATATGAATTCAAATGATACAGCTTTGCAGTCTATCTAAAGGACCAAATTTATTCCTTAGTGGCCATTTAGTGGACTCAGCACAGTGAAAGCATAAATGGGGCTAGTAGAAAACCTCTATTTTCTCAGTGGAGGCACATGCATAGAAGTCCTTCCCAAAAGAGATATGATTGGCTGTATCAGTGTTGTTTTATTAGATTTTAAAAACTCACAGAGATTTCAGTTGAACACATTTCTTTGGCTACTGGTTATTTTAAGTGGAATTTAACATTAGGCTATGGTTTTGTGAATCTGTTATTAGGACAGACTGTATGCTTATTATAAGCCATGTTTAGGCAGGAGGGATTCTGTTTTATTAAGCAGATAGGACCTGTGTTATAAATGTGTAAAATAAATCTCTTTGCTTGCCTTTTTACTTCTGGTCTGCATTCTTCATCTGCAGACTATTTTGCGTATATTGCACCTTTGCACAATAAAGTACTTGAAGGCTTGAACTCTTAATGGGTTTTGTTGGGGTAGTGTATGTAACCTTTATACTCCTGCTCATTGTTTCTTCCATATTTATACATGTCTAGAAATTTTAGTTTAAAAATTGACCCAAAAGTCCTGGCATGAGTTATTCATTGGTGAGCAATGAGTACTGTAGCTTAACTCTTACAAACTATTCCTTCTCTAAATAGAATGGTGAAAGGCAAGAGATCAATTCACCCTCATAGAACCTAAAGAAACACTGGCCTCTTCTACTCTTTTTGCCATGGCACCTCTTCTGGCCTTTTTAAATTCCCGAGCAGGGAAATGGTGGCATTGCTGCTTTCACTCCTCCACAGACTAAGTGTCGACTTATCCACAGATCATGTCAAACTCTATAATTTTGGGCCCCAAAATCTGCCCTTAGTGTATACATGAGTTTGAGTTTGACATGAGAAGATAAAAGGTAAAGGTTTCCCCCTACATTAAGTCTAGTTGTGTCCAACTCTGTGGCGTGGTGCTCATCTCCATTTCTAAGCCAAAGAGCCAGTGTTATCCATAGATACCGCTAAAGTCATGTGACAGGTATGACTGCGTGGAGTGCCGTAACCTTCCTGCAGAAGTAGTATCTGTTGATCTACTCACATTTGCATGTTTTCAAACTGCTAGGTTGGCAGAAGCTGAGGCTAACAGTGGGAGCTCACCCTGCTCCCTGGATTCAAATCGCCAACATTTTGGTCAGCAAGTTCAGCAGCTCAGCGGATTAACCTGCTGTGCTACCAGGGGACCCCTGCATGAGTAGATACAATAGTCAATTTTACATCACTGTTTTGAGTCTGAGTTTGCTGAAGACATGATTTCTGGTAACTCTGCAAGGCACAAATGTTGTGTTTTACAGGTGAACTGCATAATGGCTGAAAGTGCATCTGTAGGTATGGCGGGCATCACCCCTGTCCAGCAGATGTTGGCATCTGGGACAGGGGCCCTCTTCACCTCTCTGTTTGGTAAGTATCCATTGTTTGTTCTGTGTTTTCTTCTGCACTACTTTGAGTATTGTGGATGTATGTCATAGCATGTATTTATTTTTATTTAGAGAGTTTTTACCCTGCTCTTCAGCCACAAAGGAACTCAGAGTGGCTTACGAAATATTAATTTGCCCTCAGGCTTGCAATCTACATAAAATAATTAACATATAACACATAGATGAGACATGATGTAGCTCTGTCTTGCTATCTGCCTCCCTCCCTCCCACTCAGTGACTAGTGAAATGGCAGTTGAAGGTAGTGAAGGTGTTCTGACCCAGACATGTAGTCTGAACTTCTATTATGTGACTTTGGTCACATATGTCTCCTTGCCATACTACCCAGTCCTACACAGCAGAAATTGTAACCAAACATTTTGATGTTCATTTTTAGTCACACCCTTGGATGTGGTAAAGATCCGACTACAGGCTCAAAGAACACCATTCTCCAAAGGTAGGTTATTTTTTTATCAGCCCACCAAGAGCCAATGGGGAGGAAAATGCTGTTGGCCATGATTAATTCCCTCTGAGTTTACAGAAGGAAGAACAGCGGGAGCCTGGATCTTATCTAAAAGCATTTAGTGTCTTCCTTGATCAAAAGAGCTTTGGAATACAGAACATTCTTTGTACAAATCCTGTCCTTCCTATTAATAAATGTCTGTATGTGTGTATGTCAGTGTAGTAATGTCTCAGCATACTATACTGACTGCTTTTCTTGAATATGAAATTCCATGAAATTCAATTGTGAGTGAATATGGACTATGTATGTGCCATGCTGAGCAGAACTGGAGTGCCTTAATTTTGCCTGTATGGTTTGTAACTCTTTTCTTCATGGGACCTGACCCCATTGTGTCAGTTCCCTTGCACATATTAAACACCCGTCTCTTATATTTCTCAATGTCTTATCTAAAAATGGTACCGCCAAACTGTTGAACAACCTTCCTGACTTTGAAATATGCAGTTTCACTTGGCACTGGCTGCTGAATTTCAGGCACATTGCCATAAGAGAAAGATATACAAATTTGCTCTTTAAAAGCAACTAAACTAGCCAAATGCATGGAGAAAATTAATCATTGGTACTGTGGTTTTGTTTTTTGTATCACTGCTGAAGGGCTGCTTCCAGCCTCCGACAAAGGTCCTTGTGTCCCCATAGTTACTTGTCCCCCTCCCCACCTATTACTAAGTATGTCCATGTTGTGTCTTTCAGTGTTGTCAGTACAGTCTATACCTTGGAGCATTCAGCAGGCCAAATGTGAGTATTTCAGGTCATTTCCCATCCCAGCTGTTACTACCAGCTTTGTATGGGTGCAGTTCTGATCTATTTACTACTCACACTCCAAAGGAGAGTATTGTAATTCTTTCTCCCTCCTCTCCCATTTCTGCTGTAGAAAAGAAGTTCATATAATCCCTTCTTTGAAATATTTAGTTTTTGTGTCTGTAAAAAAAAGCTTTAATATAACACAGTGGCTGAAATAGTAAGTTATTACATTCTGTATTTGAGTTGCTCATAAAGCAGCTTCGACAAGTTAATCCATCAGCCTGTTTCAGTTATGGGGATAATTCTGACCTATTTCAGAATTATTGTAGCCATCTTCATAGGCAAGGATTTTCTGAAAAGAGCTGATATAAGTTCACTGTCCAAAAAAATAAAATGGTCCCTATCTAGCCTATATGCTCATGTATACATTTAGAAAATTCAGTCAAAAAATCAACCTCCCAAAACCTGGACCACAGGTTGCTGTTAGTACTGTACCTTAACTTTTATTTAAAAAGGGAACCACCCCTTTCTCTGAATTGAGCAAAAGACAAGAGCTTATTCTATCCTAGAAGGACCTTAAAAGGCATCACAAAAGAAAAAAAATAGGGTGAAAATATATCAAATTTGAACACTAGTTCTAAATTACGAAGTTAATGTTTGGCCATTCAAGAACTTTTGGAACTGGATCTAAGCTAATGAAAGGAACAACTGCATCTTTTCTATCCAGCAGCACCAACAATAATAGGTGGAGGAACAGGGGTTCTTTGGTGAAGCTGTATCTAGGTGTGGTGGAGGTGACAACCTGCTGCTCCTTCTCCTTCTGAGGGTATCTACAATGGCAGTTGCATGGATTAGGGATTTCTGCATCTGGATACTCACTCTTTGGTTCTAACATAAGTGTTACATTATGTTAGAGAAAAGCATTATCTTACCTACTGCTTTTTCCATAAAGTCTTTGGGAATCTTTCACCTTGGAGTCTTTGATGGACTTGAGATGCATGCAGTTGGAGTTATGTGTACTCTGCATGCAATTTGCTCCAGTTTGAATTCTTTGATCAGTTATGCAGAATACAGTTGGCACTCATTTGTGAATTTGACTTTTGTGGGTTTGTTTATTCAGGGATTTGATTAATATAGTATCTCTAGGAATCTCTAGTTCTTTCAATGTGACCGTAGTCAACTTCTCACAGATATTGACACAATTTCAGTGAAAGACTAGAGCAGTGGTACTCAACCTGGGATCCCCAGATGTTTTTAGCCTGCAACTCCCAGAAATTCCAGCCAGTTTACCAGCTGTTAGGATTTCTGGGAGTTGGGGGCCAAAAACATCTGGGGAGCCCAGGTTGAGAACCACTGGACTAGAGATTCCTAGAGAGTTGTTCTCTCAAGGAAAAAAACCCACCTTTTAGGATATGATTTTTCCACTTTCAAAGAGGTTTTGTGCCGCTGATCCCAGCAAATGTGGAAGACCTACTGTAATTTCAAATATGTTTGATTTTTTTAAAGAATCATTCTAGTTCGTAATGTGAAATTTCCAGATTGATCTCTCTTTTTTGCTCCCTTTCTCAGTTGGAAGTGAGGGAAAGGACAAAGAAAGAAACATTTCCATTTAACTTTATAGCCATGCCAGCTAAAATACTTGTTTTTAAAACAAAACTGAGCATATCGGAATGCTATGCGGAGCTGAGTGTCAGGTAGCACAGAAAACACTGCATGTGGTAGAATTGGGTAAAAGCTTTATCCCGTGCTCTACATCTAGAGTTTGTGTGTTCTCTCTGTGTTCCTTTATAAATGTTATGATTTTCCTGAACCCTGTGCTCCTTTGAAATTGAATAGGTATGTGTTGAGTGTAATGTATTTGATATTGCCTTTGCGGAATTAAATGCTTAGGGTATGATACACAACATAATGTGTCTTGAGCATAAAGAAGCTTGTTTGGATATAGTTCTGGCTTCTTACTGCCAGACATGCCTCTGCAGATGGTGGTTGACAGAAGGGCCTCTCCTGAATATTTCAGGGATATAGCCTAGACCAGTGGTTCTCAACCTGTGGGTCCCCAGGTGTTTTGGTCTACAACTCCCAGAAATCCCAGCCAGCTTACCAGTGAAATGCAATTATCACTTCATATTTAGAAGGGATTTCCCCAAAAATTCAACATTGTATCTCAGGGCTCCTTAACGTGTTCTATTTCTGAGGGCAAAATTAATAAAGTGATACTATATTGTCCCAAAGCCATGTGTGATATTAATTCATTTTGTTTTTCTGTACATTTCTGACAAGATTTTCTGTTAATGTAATCTCTCGGACTCTGCTTAAGAGATTTCAATATTTCATTACTTCCAGTCTTGCAACCACTAGCAATATTAAAATCAGTTCTATGTATTCAAGTGTTTTGTTATTTGAGTGTAGGAATAGTGTATCAGTCTATGAGTGATGGCCACTTGTTGGCCTGATAGGTGTATTGTGTCCAAATTTGGTGTCAATTCATCCAGTGGTTTTTGAGTTATGTTAACCCCACAAATGAACATTACATTTTTATTTATATAAATCAGAGAGAGCGAGAGAGAACTGCAATATTAAAGATCTGTTTGAAAGAGTCTTTTCAAAATGCAACTCTACGATTCTATACACAGCTGATCACATTAAATACTAATTTGAGTCAGTGGGTCTTACACCCAAAAAAACATGGCATAGGAATTTGACCTAAACACCTAGAAATGGCTGACAGGTATCTGATGTAATGTGAAGAAAGAAATATAAATATCTATGACCTTCAATTGAGTCATCTAATTATATGTTTATATAATAAATACTTTTAAAATTTAAAATTAAAATAGAATACTGATGTCAACTATGTACTGTATTCAAAATGATTATTTTAATTTGGGTAAAATAGCTTTGTATGACATTGATATCAATATTTTATTCCAATCAACATCTTTTTGTTGTATCTCAAAACCACTACACAATATCCCAGAGTACTTGTAAGATATTAGTACAAACACAAAACAATCTATGCGTAATGTCAAAGTGTATTATCAAGAAAACATATAATATTCTATTTACCAAAATCCCCAGTACAAAGCTCAATTCAGTGGTACACAGAAATCAAAAGGAGCAACCGCTCTCAAACGTAACAGTTCTGGGTTTGGATAGGGATTCCACTGTGTATAGGCTTCAGGGATACATTCAATGCAAAAAGTCATATAAACAAAGTAAGCATAGAGTCATGAGGCTATATGTAAACTGAAGACAATAATGAGGATGAAGCGCCACTCTCAAAACAATCTTCATGGAAAAGATCCAACTCAAGTCCAGTGAAAAATGGAGCACTGCTTCTCAAAATAAGTCTTCAAAGGAAAAGTCCCAATGGCATTCAACAGGGGTGCCCGGGTATTTTTGTACCCTGTTTCGGGGAAAGCAATCCCCTTCCTCAGGAGTTGATAAATTCAGCAACTCTAGACTCTTATATCATGCCAAGTAGCTAATACAAAAAGTGACTCTGCTAGAAGTAAATTGTGTACTTTTCAACTGATCAGAAACATTGTGTTGTCCAAATTAATCTTTAGTTTATTAACTGTCATCCAATTTGTTACTGATGGCAAATTTAAAACCAAAAGTACTGGCATCCTAGCAGCCTCGACTTGCAAGCAACAGAGTAGTACCTCTCAAGGAGTAAGCATTCTGTTCTGACTTTTTCTATGTGGCTCATGTCCCTATATTTTTATATCTTTGGCATACCATTCTCCAAAGCCTACCATAACTTATAGAGGGTTTGGATACTATTTTGAGAAAGCACAGGTCATCCCATTTGGAATAAACCTGTAGGTAAACACAGGATTTGGTGTGTTTATTTTGGCGTTAATTTACTTTTATCCTAATTGTTTTGGCCACTGGTGAAAGGAGAATAATATGTACACCAGTGATAGACTTTTGGTCAGGGAAAATAACTTTTATTCCCAAGTTGAGAGAGTATTTTGCTTTAGACCATGCAACAGCTATGGCTGATCTGGATTTGAACTATGACCTATCTCAGGCCGCTCTGTATGTAGAAGGAGTTATGTGTGATACTCAGCCCCTGACCACCAGAAATGCTTCTTTGCTTTGTACATTTGTCTCTTCTTAGTGTTTGAGAGAGCATCAACTATTAACTGCACATTTGGAACTTATTCTGCAGTCAAGGCTATAAACTAGATTCTCAAGAGGTCAAATTCTATTTTGAGAAGTGAATTCTTAAGTGGTTCTTATTAGGGCCTATGGGATTTACACAATCATATTTTTGGGGACTCAGGGAGGCAACATATGTGGATTTTTTTATCACTGTATATGGCTGGGTGGGGAGTGACCAAGCAAGAACATCTGATGGTGTAAGTTCCCCCTTTCCTGAGCACATTCTGTTTTATTTTTCCCCTCTTCCCCTTCCACAGGGAAATGCTTCCTTTACTGCAATGGCCTGATGGACCACCTATATGTGTGTCAGAATGGCAATGGCTGCACTGCCTGGTATAAGGCCCCAACTCAATTCACTGGCACTTTGGTAAGAACTTACCTGTTGAAAAACTGAAGCATCTGTCAGATAAGAGCCATGGGAGTTTCATAGTCACATTGAGTTAGCTATGTAAAGCAGTATGTTAACCTGAGTAGAAATGTGGCCGGATCAGTGTTTTGTAAAGTTACTTTGGGGTGAAGTGGGGGGACAGCAGAGGCCCAAGTCTGCTAGCCAGCATGGCTATGTTGGTTGGAGGGTTCTAGAGGCTATAACAAAGTTTTGCTAATGTCTGGATTTATCATAGTCTGAATGGCCTTTTTAAAAAGTAGAATGGCTTTAGTATTATGTGATAGACCTCCAGATGGCTTGTATGGAATTTGTTACATACATTTGTGTATGTGGCCTAACCTAATGCAATTAATGGCAGCCTAATATAAAGTTTAAGCTTCTTGTAAATAAGCTTACGAACATTATTAGCTGAAGAGAGTAATAACTTTTGACCACAGATTTTGAGGAAACTTTATTTTGTGATTAGTGTAGAAATGAAATCAGATTAGAAGAAAAACCCTGACTTTAGTCAAGTAGTCTAGAGCACCACTTCTTAAACAGTGAGCCCTGAATGAATTTCTGGTCATCTACAGCTACTGAGGAAATTGATTAGTGTTGGATTTACTCCAAAATATGCATCAGTTCAACAGCTTAGTCTAAAGTACATTTTAGTGTTTTCTTTTTACTAACTTACTTTTCTTTTGTCTTTTTACTTGCTCCAGGATGCTTTTGTGAAGATAATACGCCATGAGGGCATTCGATCTTTATGGAGTGGCCTGCCACCCACCCTGTGAGTCTAAGCATGATTAGTATACAACCAGAACACCACCACCCCATTTCCATATCACAAGGCATACAACACTTTTTAGTTATTTATTATAATATTAATTCTAAGATAACTGATTGCCCTGAAATATTTCACTCTTCCACAAACACACATGGAGCCCCTGGTGGCGCAGTGGGTTAAAGCACTGAGCTGCTGAGCTTGTTGATCGAAAGGTCGCAGGTTCGATTCCGGGGAGCGGTGTGAGCTTCCGCTGTCAGCCCTAGCTTCTGCCAACCTAGGAGTTCGAAAACATGCAAATGTGAGTAGATCAATAGGTACCGCTCCAGCGGGAAGGTAACGGCGCTCCATGCAGTCATGCCGGCCACATGACCTTGGAGGTGTCTAAGGACAACGCTGGCTCTTCGGCTTAGAAATGGAGATGAGCACCACACCCCAGAGTCAGACATGACTGGACTTAATGCTAGGGGACTACCTTTACCTTTTTACACACACATACACTAGACTCATCATATCCACAGATATGACAAGAATTCAACCCCATGAAAATATAGAAAAAGTGGGTGATCACAACTGATATTAAATGGCTGTGGTGTGAACATGCATGCTTCAGCACATTCCCATCACTGCCATTTAATAATATGGAATGTAAGAATCCACAGTTGGTTGAAATCATGGCTCTGGTGGGCCCATGTGTGCACGTGTACATGCGTATGTATGTTTTTATGTGTGTGCCTGACATATATACAGGTAGTCCCTGCATTACAAACATCCGACTTGCATCCGACTCCTAGCTACAAATGGGGGTGAGACAATGCGTGGCCGCATTTCTATGTACGAACCCACACGATCTCTTCGATCATCTGGAGAGGCCCTGCTCGCGCTCCCACCTCCTTCGCAGGCGTGATTGGTGGGGACAAGGGAGAGGGCCTTCTCGGTGGTGGCCGCCCGACTCTGGAATTCACTCCCCAAGGACATCAGACATGCCCCAACACTGGCAGTTTTTAGGAGGAGCCTGAAAACGTGGTTGTTCCAGTATGCCTTCCCAGAATAAACTCTTAGCAATATGTCCTCAAATGCACTTTAATATTGATTTAGGATTGTCTGCGCGCCCTCATCTTTCTTTGAAAACCCTGTCCTAGTTATACCCTACCTTGTTCATGCCCAGCATTATTTTAAATTTTAATTATTACATTTGGCCCGGCCATAGGTTTTTAAATGCTTGTATGTTATTGTTTATTGTGTATTTTTTGTTTATGAGCTTTATTTTAACTGTTTTGTATTGATTATTTTGATTAATCATCGAATTGTGCCCTGAGTCACCTTTGGGCTGAAATGGGCGGGATAGAAATAATGTAAATAAATAAATAATAAATATTTGTTATCGCCTTCGTTTATTGATGTACTGTGGGCTTGGCCTCATGTAAGCCGCACCGAGTCCCTTGGGGAGATGGTAGCGGGGTACAAATAAATAAATTATTATTATTATTATTATTATTATTATTATTATTATTATTATTACTATTATTAATAGGAAGTGAGAGGAAATCTACCCCTAGAAAAATAAATTCACTCCTGTAAGAATTATCATAGTGAAAAGTTGTTTCCACTGAAGCTTGATCACCAATCCTTGTTTCTACAACTACTCAATTTTTTTCAAAATGCAATTTTTACAGAGATAGAAAGTGAGGTGAAATCTTCTGAACATGGTCACAGACAGAAAAACAAACACCACAGGGGATGTTAATGTTAAGGCTATCAAAAACAAAAAAGGCTGGAGTTACCGTACATTTTAAAAATGTACCATTTCTGACTTACATACAATTTAATCTTAAAAACAAACCTACAAAACCTATCTTGTTAATAACCTGGGGACTGGCTGTATATACATGCAACCTCAAGTAAGAGATCATAATTCCCAGCTTAGCCCTTGGAAAAGATCTCACAACTCCATTTTGGGGTGGGCATAAAAAAATCATTGGAGTGATTTGTGCTCCAAAAGGGAGTCATATTGCTTTTGTTTTTGACTATGTTAGATGCTGCAGGATAGGCTTTGTTTAGGGTTATTTTAAGGGAAGTTTTTTGCCTGTTATACTTCTGATGTGACCCTTTAAAAGATGTAGTAGATTTCTGCTAAAGCCCAAGAAATCGGAAGGGGATTTTAAGTGAGATCTCTTATTTTATCTTATTTTTTTCAGCAATATTGATTGAATTGTAGCTCTAGTTCTTGCCTTATTGGGGCCTTTGGCACTTTGTTATCAGAATTGTTGATGGGTTTGTATGGTATTCATGGTATTTTCATGGTATATTCATAGTATTCATATGCTATTCATGGTATTTTTGTGGTAGTTTCTATGTGTGTATACCCAAAGTGCTTTCTTGAACCATGGCACTTAATGTTCACTTTTCAACAGAGTGATGGCTGTTCCCGCCACTGTGATCTACTTCACTAGTTATGATCAACTACGTGATTTTTTACATTCTAAGATGGATAACCAAGGGCGCTACATCCCACTAGTGGCTGGAGCTGTTGCTCGATGTGAGTCTTACTTTCCTTTTGTGTTTGTAATTCTCCCAGGGATTGTCTGCTTTGTTGTTTTAAATAGATATATATGTTTTAAAATCATTAGCTTTTAAGTGTTGTTCTTACCTAAGTGCTTTAGCGTCCATGTTTTGGTTCTGCTTAAGAGTGAGAGTGAGTTTCTTAGACATAATACCTTTAGTAAGTTTTTAGTGCCAGTAACCGATTACTGGAGATTTGAGGTAGAGTATGTATTTTATTAAATACATACACGTGAAAGAAAGAAATGCATTTGAAAACAGAATCATAGAATCAAAAGTGGGAAGAGACCTCATGGGCCATCCAGTCCAACCCCCTGCCAAGAAGCAGGAATATTGCATTCAAATCACCCCTGACAGATGGCCATCCAGCCTCTGTTTAAAAGCTTCCAAAGAAGGAGCCTCCACCACACTCCGGGGCAGAGAGATGCATAACCAATTAGCCTCAGTCCCTTGCAGCACTGTGGATTTTTATGGGTTACATGCTTATTGTAGTAAACAGTGACTAGGAGATTTCAAGTGTCTGTAAAAACCTGATGCTATATTTTTTCCAAAATTATAGATAGTTAGCCAGGCACATGCTTGCCAAATGGTGCTTCATTTCAGATTGTACTTCATTAGTTTCTCAGCCCTAGTTGCTTCTGCCCTTACATCTACTTGCAGCAAAGAGATGATAATGATTATTTGTTTTACAGGGTAGTTAAATGGATTATTCATTACTGAGTGTATGTGCTACCTTTCTACTGAAAGTCAGATAGCAATAACAGAATGTGGACAAATTACCAAATTATAGTTAGAGCATACTGTAATGCAGGAAATACCTTTTTAAAATACATCATCTACCAAATTAAAATTTACTTTAACACACAAATCTTTGGCTGAATGAAAATAGTTGCATCATTTGGCAAAGGCCATTACAGATGCAGCTAGTTTGGCTCTTTTAGCAAAGTTCCACTGAAAAGATTCTCTGTTGTGGCCCTGCCAAAAATGCTACTGAAGGTGGCACGAGAGAATGAAGGGTCTCTGGTGTAGTGATGGTGTTTGAACTCTTGTATGTTAGTATATAAATGCTTTAAAGTAAATAATGATATTGGCAAATACACTTTGATGTCTAGAGCCATTGCTAATAGTCTTTGTGTGCTTTATGCTTTTTTGCTTGGGGCCAGCAACAAAATGAACGGTTCTTAGAATCTGTTGGGATTTGGTTCCAAGTCCTCCCCATGGCTGCCAAAATCTATGGCTTGTCAGGTCCCATTATATACAATGGCATAGTAAAATGGTGTCCTTTATATAAAATGGCAAATCTAGGTTTACTTATTAGATTTTTTTAAAGACTGCGTTCAAGCTATTGATGGTTGAATCTGTAGATACATAATCCATGGGCCCAGATAGCTGACCGTAGTTATCCTCATCCTTTTTATTAGCATCTTGTGAGATCTTGCTGACCCATTGTGAGACAGAATACTGAGCTCTATGGACTTTAGATCATGCTCTCCTGTGGTGTGATGCAGGAGCACCCCAATGCCACTTTGGTTGATAACCCAGCTAGTTTGTAATCAAGATCTACCACGCTATGTTCTCTGTATTTATATTCCAGTTGGTGTCTGAGGGAAGAGGGCAAAGAAGTATCTTTAATTTGAAGTGTGGTTTTCAGTTGCCGTTCTCTTCTTTAGTGGGTGCAGTAACTGTGATCAGCCCCTTGGAACTTATCCGAACAAAGATGCAATCCCGTCAGCTGACTTACCATGAGTTGCGTGTGTGCATCCAATCTGCTGTGGCCCAGGATGGATGGCTGTCCCTCTGGAGGGGTTGGGGACCCACACTATTGCGGGATGTTCCCTTCTCAGGTATGAATAGGATGAAGAAAGGGAAATCAGAGTCTCTAGTAGTCCTCCTCCTCCTTCTCCTCCTCCTCCTCCTCCTCATTATTATTATTATTATTATTATATTTTATACCCTGCTTTATCTCCCCTCAAGAAAATTCAAAGCAGCTAAGGGAAATCAAGAATGAATTACATACAGAAGCATGATAGGAGCTTCCCATGGCTTCTTCTAGAGCAGGGGTCCTCAAACTAAGGCCCAGGGGCCAGATATGGCCCTCATTTACCTGGACCTGGCTCAACCTAAGTCTGAAACGACTTGAAAGCACACAACAACAACAATTCCTTTCTCATCAGCCAAAAGCAGGCCCACACTTCCCATTGAAATACTAATAAGTTTTTATTGTTAAAATTGTTCCTCATTTTAATTATTGTATTGTTTTTAAGTCGGTTTTTTTTTTTTTGCACTACAAATGAGATATGTGCAGTGTGCATAGGAATTTATTCATGATTTTTTCAAATTATAATCTGGCCCTTCAACAGTTTGAGGGACTGTGACCCAGCCCTCTGTTTGAGGACCCCTGTTCTAGAGAAAAGGCTATTGACAAATGTCAATTCTCAGGGTATCCAAAAATAAGAGCTTGGCGGTTCACTTTTTCTTGAAATAAAACCACTTTAGCCGATTAATGAGTACAGTGTCACACCTTTTCAGAACCACAGGACATTAACAGTACACATGGTCTGTATATATTGTGGCATTGCCTCCTTTAATGTGTCTGAAAGTGGATTGGAGGAACATCTGTCTGGTATATCCCGATATTGTAAGGGGTTAGCAAATAAGACTTCTTGGCACCATTTTCTCTTGGAGATACCCTGCACAGTATCTCCAAGTGATGTAGCCCTCAAGATTGTTCCTCTCCAATTTGGCCAATGACAGGAGTTTCTGCCTTCTGCAGTAATGTACAGGTCAAGTAAATCAAAAGCCATCTGAACACAGTGTCATCCATAAAGATCCTGGGTGGGAGAGCTAAAAACCTTGCAAATGACTACATATTCCCCCATTATCAAATGGAAGTATAGTGTGTGTGTCTGGTATCTGCAACTAACCTTCTGCTTCCTTCTGATTTTTCTTGTTATTTCTTCACAGCTTTGTACTGGTTTAATTATGAGCTGGTGAAAGATTGGCTTTGTAGTCAATTCTGTCTTGACAAGGCCACCTTCATGACCAGCTTTGCAGCCGGTGCACTATCTGGGACGGTGAGTGCCAGTGTTTCACAGGGATTTGAAAGATTGTGCAAACAGTGAAATGTAGAGCAAAGACCTAAAGGACTAAACTTCTTTTTTTCTTGCCAAGGATGGTGTTCCCCATGTTGATTGTGAATACGTGGTACTTCAGAAGCAGAGTAGGGCATTGAGAGTGAATTGTTCCCCTTCACACACCTTTGAGTGGGTTAAGTTCTGTCAATTAAGATGCAGTGCATTTTTCTTCAAAACCTTTAACCAATTTGCCTTTCTGTCAGCTTATTTTTTATTTCACTCTTTCCCATAAACTCACTTAACTAGTTTGGTAGGGAAACGTCATCTTTCCCCTTGTTATTCACAAAAAGTGAGAAGTGCCCCCAAGCCAAGGAAGGACTCTTGCCATTAAGAAAGAGAGTTTGACACTAGCAATTTGGGATTTTTTTGCCCTTGGGACAGTACAAGAGCTTATCTTCTGCTCTGCCTTTTCCCTCTGAAGGATATGGAGCACTTGGACCAGTGTAATTGCTGTGGCAAAATAAGGTGCCATACAAAAAGACAATAAAAATGAAACCTGGATTGACAGGACTCAGTCTATAGGTGGTACTTGACCTCAAATGATTTTAGAAAAAGCCATAGAAAAAGGATTTACCCACTTCTTCCCTTTAGAATGGCAGGATGGTAACTTTCTGTCCACCTTGCTTTTCATAATGATCAAATGGGATTTGCTGTTGTTGCAATCAAAGTAGCTGAGCTGATGTAATGGCCATTCAGTTTAAATGTCGTGATTTTCCTGGGCATGATTCAGCTGTCAGTACCTGTCAACCACGGCTTTGCAAGATGTTTAGCAGGAAGTTACTGTGGATCAAAGTATCTGGTACAGCCTCACTCGATATAGCACCTTTGCCTGGACTTCAGCCAGGTGGACCAATAACTTTCAGAGCTCTCTTGTATAGTAATTGTATGTTGCTCCAAAGAAACAAACTACTATCAATGTCCACATAAGCCATGATGAATCACACCATAAAGCCAGAATTCTGTTTACACTATTGGAGATCTGCCAGACATGAATGCAATTGCACCCCCATCTCATGATCACCAACAATTGCAGTAAAAGACACATAGCATTCAATACTATAGATTATGTGTAGCCATCTGATTAATACCCACTGATCTCTACTTTCATGAACTGGGTCTCAGCTTGTTGTCAAACCCATTAATATGCCTAAGTAGAATTCAATATTTTGAAGATTCCAGGAGCTCATGTCTCCTTCATTTTAGCCTATCCGTTTTAAATAAAGAAAGTGGCATTAATGGACATCTGCTGTTTAAGTGCACAGCCTCGGGGTCCTTGTACCCAACCATGTAAATAGGAATGTTGCTAAATTTACCATAGCCTGTTTAATCGTGACTGCACTTGGTAAACTAAGGAGGTGCAAAAGACTGCTGGTTCCTTCATGGATCATAGTTCATTTTGGTATTGTTTAATTCAAATCACTCTCTAGAAGGAATTTTTAGGGTGGTTAGTTGGTTTCATCCTTTGCAAAACATTATAAGTTAGCCATTTTCTCTTGCATGGAAATGACATTCAGAAGAAGGCTGCTTCACCAAGTTCTCTTAACTGTATCAGTCAAGAGACTCGGTTACAAATATTATACTGACAGCATGAAACACACATGGGAGAGAGGAGTGCTGAAATATATCAGCATATTTCCTCTGAAGGGTGCACAGAAGCTATCAACCAGCATCAAGCATATCCATGTCTTGTCCTGTTACTTACAAATAATGTTAGAATGGCCAGCAAACTGTTTCTGGTCCACAGGAATAGACCAAATCTTAGAGGTGATCATCAATTGCATCATCTTAATCGTAATATCTCTCATTCTAATATTTTCTGGTTTTGATCAAATTAGGAAGTTTTTACAGTAGTGTGGTGTATCAGCTTCATAGTGTCATATTATTAAGTGCTTTGGGACTATACACAGTGGATCCCACTTGCTTAATTTGTATAAGCTCTTCTTCTATGGAAAAGATAAGCAACTGTGGAAGGCTAGGAGGTTGTATCATCCCACTGGAAAATATTAGAGAAATGCATCTCCTACAATGTACCCACTTCTTCAAACAAATAAATAGCAAATTTGTCAAAGATGTTCCCAAATGGTCTATAAAGAGACATTTTCGCCATATTTTTAAACTTGTCTAGACCATTTTACTCCCACATTTTTATATCAGGAAGTGAGTGTAAATTACTTTCATTTTTTGTTTCAGAGGGTTCCACTGGATCTAAATTAGTTTTGGGGGTTAAAACATAGTGTAGATGCTCTCCATGACCTCTAGAAGGCATTTTGAGCATTTTTTAAAAAGAAAATCACAAAATGTTTTAACCCCTTGAACAGTGGTTCTTAACCTGTGGGCTGCGGACCACCAGTGGGCCGCGGGGACGAAAATCGGGTCCATGAACTTCCTTCCTCTTTATTTTATTTATTTTATTTCTACTCCTTTCACACCACCTGCCACTCCTTCCCTGTCGCTAACCAGCCCCGACCTCTTGGATAGACCACATTAGCTCTAGATTATTATATATGGCTTTCTGTGGGTGAGCTTATGGCAACTACTGGATGGCATATGTTCTGTATCAGAAACTAGAGCTGATGTGGTCTATCCAAAGCAATTTTTGGAATCGGCACTCCAAATAACCAAACGGAATCTAAAGTTGACCAACAACTGATTCGTAACCCTCTTGGTACTAATGTTGGGGAGTGGTCCATGGTCAAAGTGATCCCTGGTCAAAAAAAAAAGGTTGGGAACTACTGCCCTAGAAGAACCAGGGGATCACCAAATGTTTTCTCTACAAGGCAAATAGATCCCCTGGGACCACAGAAACAACCACTTTGCTCATCCCTGCTCTAAGGAGTAGAATTTACTCCTGGAAGAAAAAACCATGGGAATTAACAACATGCTCAAGTAGAAAAGACTGCAGAAAGCTATCCCATTAGCAAGTGTAACCAGTGATGCTGGTGATGGTGACTGACAGGTGGTCTTTCTTCTCTTGCAGGTGGCGGCTATCCTGACATTGCCCTTTGATGTAGTGAAGACCCAACGGCAGATTGAGCTGGGGGACATGGAAACAGTTAAAGGTAAGAAGCATTGAGATACCAAGAGTAAGAGGATACTAATATAAGCCTGACTGAAGATCAACAGCAATCCTAAGCTTGTAAGCATTGGGTTACAGCTCATGCTAAAAAGTAATGCAGCACAAAAAAAATCAGAATTAAGAGCAACAGGTTGATGGTATTCAACTTAATTGTTGCACGTATTCTTGATAGTTTCAGGATTTGTGTTATTTTGCATCAAAAAAAGATGCAGATTTGATGACTTATTATACACAAGATACAGAATGGGGGACTCCTGGTTCGACAGCAGTACACGTGAAAAACATCTTGGAGTCCATCTGGACAACAAGTTAAACATGAGCCAACAATATGATGCTGCAGCTAAAAAAGCCAATGGGATTTTGGCCTGCATAAATAGGAGTAAAGTGTCTAGATCCAGGGAAGTCATGCTACCCCTCTATTCTGCCTTGGTTAGGCCACACCTGGAATATTGTGTCCAATTCTGGGCACCACAATTGAAGGGAGATATTGACAAGCTGGAATGTGTCCAGATGAGGGCGACTAAAATGATCAAGAGTCTGGAGAACAAGCCCTATGAGGAGTGGCTTAAAGAGTTGGGCATGTTTAGCCTGAAGAAGAGAAGCCTGAGAGGAGACATGATATCCATGTATAAATATGTGAGGGGAAGTCATAGGGAGGAGGAACCAAGCTTGTTTTTTGCTGCCCTGGAGATTAGGACGCGGAACAATGACTTCACTACAGGAAAGGAGATTCCACCTGAACATTAGGAAGAACTTTCTGACTGTGAGAGCTGTTCAGCAGTGGAACTGTCTGCCCCGGAGTGTGGTGGAGGCTCCTTCTATGGAGGCTTTTAAACAGAGGCTGGATGGCCATCTGTTGGGGGTGTTCTGAACATGATTGTCCTGCTTCTTGGCATGGGGTTGGACTGGATGACCCATGAGGTCTCTTTCAACTCTATGAGTCTATGATTTTCTTCCTTCCCTTGTTTAGCTAACACTCCCAGATCCTCATCTACATGGCTGCTTATGCAGAAAATCCGAGCAGATTCTGGCACCAGAGGACTCTTTGCAGGTTATTTATTTATTTATTTATTTACTTGCTTACGACATTTATATGCCATCCTTCTCACCCCGAAAGGGACTCAGAACGGCTTACAAGATATTTCTTGCTGTTTCTTTGTCAGTGTTGATGTGGAGATTGTCTGGTTTGCCTACTCTGGAACATGCAACATACAGTTGTTCTTCTTTAGGGGTCCCTGTCAAATCTATGATACTATATCTGTGTGTGTATGAATAATATCTATCTATCTATATCTATGGCTGGATGGCTCTTTGTCAGGAGGGCTTTGATTACGTTTTCTTCCCTTGGTGAAGGGAGTTGGACTGGATGGCCTTAAGCACTTTCTGTTGGTCATGGGGGTTCTGTGTGGGAAGTTTGCCCAATTCTGTCGTTGGTGGGGTTCAGAATGCTCTTTGATTGTAGGTGAACTATAAATCCCAGTAACTCCCAAATGTCAGGGTCTATTTCCCCCAAACCCCATCTGTGTTCATATTTGTGCATATGGAATATTCGTGCCAAGTTGGGTCCAGAACCATCATTGTTTGAGTCCACAGTGCTCTCTGGATGTAGATAAACTACAACTCTCAAACTCAAGGTCAGTGCCCACCAAACCCTTCCAGTATTTTCTTTTGGTCATGGGAGTTCTGTGTGCCAAGTTTGGTTCAATTCCATCGTTAGTGGAGTTCAGAATGCCCTTTGATTGTAGGTGAACTATAAATCCCAGCAACTATAACTCCTAAATGACAAAATCATAATTTTTGAGTGATAGTCACTCCTTGTGTGGTGAGATGTTTTGTTGCCAAATTTGGTGTGATTTCGTTTATTGGTTCTTTTGTTTTTAAGGCACTCATTATACACAGAGCATTTATATAGATAGATAGATAGATAGATAAATATTATATGTATATACATAATATTACATTGTTAGAATAGCACAGGAGACAAAGTGGAACAGTCTTCTGCCCCCCTTTCTCTTAACTCTGGCCCAGAGCGGCAGTTGGTGCTGGGGGTGGGGGTCCCTAGCTGATGACATATGCAGGAGACAAGATGGAACTGCCTTAATTTGCCTTAATTTGCGGGGTTCTTGTCTTCCTTGCTATACCTTGCTTCCTGTACTCTGAAAGAAATAAATTTTGCCCCATTTAACTAGAGTCTTAAGCACTAGCTAAGAAAGCAAGCTGGTTGTTTACATGGTTTAATATGTTTGTCCTCTCTTTCCTCCCTCCCTGCCATCACTTCCCCTCCTAAAATATCCTATAGGTTTCATGCCTCGTGTCATCAAAGTGGCCCCAGCCTGTGCCATTATGATCAGCACATATGAATTTGGCAAGACTTTCTTCCAGAAACTGAATCGGGAGCGGCAACTCAGCAGCTTGTGAAGTCCAGGAAAAGAGCCTCGATTGGCATCCTCCAGATGGACCAAAATCATGCTGGTGGCAGGAGTGTGTAGACGTCAACAGAGGCAAGGAGAGGAAACAAGGGATTGTGAATTTAGGCACTAGAAAAGGAGCATGCAGCAGAGATCTCTATCAATCAAGAAACATTTTGCTCGCTTTTCTTATAGGCTGTGTCTCATGACAGACACATCCCAGGTGCCTTCGAGCTGGTTTTTGCCCTACTATCTTTCTCCTTCACCACAGTGAACTCTTGCCCTTGGGATGTTGCATCTTAGGGGCCTATTCTGTGTCTATTGCTAGAGCAGGAGTTCCACACAGCATTTTTCCTCTTTGCCCCCAAAACAAAACTCAGTTGCACAAAGAGGTGAAAGAAAAAGAGAGAGAAGCACATTGGCTTTGGCATTCCAAAAGGAGAAGATCTTTCCCTGAAACATTTTCTGTTGCTGCCTTTTTGTGGGCCTCCAAAGAGTTTATATTGCTGAACAAGAGACAGACTTCTCAATCCCTGCCTTAATTTTAAAATTGTCTTGTCCTGCATTGTCTACTGTTCCCTCACATGACCTATTCAGCGCATGATGGATACTGCTGGCTCAAGTTGTAACTCCACACTGGAATTGTCTGGGATCCTAGACAAAAACACTAGTTTTGAATGCTCAGGATCCACCCAGCCCTTCTCTTGACACCCACACGAACTGCCTGAACTCTTTAACTCTTCACGCCTTAGTTGATGGGTACCTTGGAGGGGAAGGATGTAACCCCCCCCCCCACACACACACATACACACCACCCCCTTCCAGAACACCTAAGTCAAAGCAGCGAATGAATCTAAAACAGACCAAGGTTTGGTTTGTTGCTGGGGACTTTTATGTAGCATTTTTTAGCACAAAGTACCCTTACTCCTTTCCATGCTGTTAAATTATGTGCCTGTTGGTTATGTTCTTGTGGAAGGGGAGAATGCTGAACATTTGTTTCTTAAATAAAAGTCTCTTTTTAAAAAATCGGAAACAGAGAAAATATTTTTTTTGGTTTTATTTGATCCTAGAAGGGTGGTGTAGCAGTTAAACTGCTAAGCTGCTGAACTTGCTGACCAAAAGGTAGACAGTTTGAATCCAGGGAGTGGGTTGAGCTCATTTGCATTACCTACAGCCATTGGTTTTCTGATACTATATATGTGGATCTAGTTGCAGATGAGCTGCTGAACTTGCTGACCAAAATGTTGGTGGTTCAGATCCGGGGATGGGATAAGTGCCTGCTATTAGCCCCAGCTTCTGCCAACCTAGCAGTTCGAAAACATGCAAATGTGTGTAGATCAATAGGTACCACTCCGGCGGGAAAGTAACGACACTCTATGCCAGGGGTCCTCAAATGTTTTAAACAGAGGGCCAGGTCACAGACCCTCAAACTGTTGGAGGGCCGGATTATAATTTGAAAAAAAAAACATTAATGAATTTCTATGCACACTGCACATATATTATTTGTAGTGCAAAAAAACACTTAAAATAATACAATAATTAAAATGAAGAACAATTTTAACAAAAATAAACATATTGGCGTTTCAATGGGAAGTGTGGTCCTGCTTTTGGCTGACGAGATAGGATTGTTGTTATTGTGTGCTTTCAAGTCATTTCAGGTTGATCCTGAGCAAGGGCCGGGTAAATGACCTTGGAGGGCTGTATTCAGCCCATGGGCCCTAGTTTGAGGACCCCTGCTCTATGCAATCATGCTGGCCACATGACCTTGGAGGTGTCTATGGACAACGCCGACTCTTCAGCTTAGAAATGGAGATGAGCACCACCCCCATAGTCAGACATGAGTAGATATAATATCAGGGGAAACTTTTACGTTTAGAAGGTTTTAGAACCAGAATATAGACCTTTTTGCTTTCATTTTTCTTTCCTTGTAGGCTCACCAGATAGCTTCACTTCTCACCAAGGATAGCTTTAGAAGAGGCAGGGGCAACTGCACTCTGGCCACTTTCCTCCCAATATAGGCTGTGTCTCCTGATTTTGAGGCAAAATTGAGCCCCGATAATTATCATGAGTTTACTTGCTTTAAATGTTTATCTTTTTTGAATGGCAGCATCAGAAGGTCTTTTGCCTCTGGAGTTAGTCATTGTTTGTTCCTGTTTTACCAGTTTTATAGTAAAACTTCATTGGAGCCACACAAGAATGTGAACTCCGCCCTTTTTATTCTGATGCATCTTAAAGAGGCTGTTAGAAAAAACAGAAATATTCCATATTTTAATAAATCAATATCTAAAATACAAGAGAATTCCACACATCCTATTCTGGGTATGCGTAGACTGTGGTTGAAAGCTCTTGCATTGCTTTGCCTTTAGTATATTGAGTTTCCTGTCTTCCTTAGCAATTTTAAAGTATTATGGTATTTTCAAAATATTTAAAATGTTGGATTTTTTGCTAAGCCAACAAATGGAGCTTCAGGCAAGGAAAGGGTTTTGGGAAAGGCAGCGCCATGATAGGTGTGGTAAAGAAGAGTTTGAGGAGTGGACTATGTGTAAGTGGAGATACAAGTGTGAATGAGACTTGAATATGTAACTGTGATTATGAACAAGGGAGGAGATAGGGCAAATCTATTTGTAACTTTTTAAAAGCTGGTATAATTCACATTCCTGGATATAAGAGCATTACTATTTTAGTTTTTTGGCAGGCTCAGAATTTGGCTCCTTTAGTCACGCCTGTCACTGGCTGAAATCCTAACTGCCTTAAGGCTTGGCTTCATCCAAAAAAATTTTGCACTGGTCCATTTTGTTCAAGTCAACCTTGGGAAATTCCCTTACGTATGATTTGCAGGGCACATCAAGGACATTTTTGTACGTAAGTAGTACATCAAACGTCTTATGAATGAGCAAAAATATTGCAATAGATTGACTCGGACAGTGGCCGACTATCACTGTCCTATGCATTTTAAACTTAATTGTTTCTCATCTTGATATCATAGGATCAGACTGAACAAATATAAACTATAACTCAGGGGGGGAAAAACCACCCAACCATCTTGTCAGCCTTCTTGGCCAACTTAAACATTCACTCCTCCCATCTGCAGTATGTAGATAAAAGTGCCTTATAGTTCAGTGCTGTTCTGGTAATAGTGAGATAGTGCACATGAAGAGCTCTCAACAGTTAAATTGTACAACTGAAAATGTTTTGAGCTGTAGTTTCTGAAATACTGTTGCAAGGTTTAGAGTAAAGACTGTCATTTGCATTACCTACAGCCACTGGTTTTCTGATACTATATATGTGGATCTAGTTGCAGACAAGCTGCTGAACTTGCTGGCCAAAAGTTTGGTGGTTCAAATCCAGGGAGTGAGGTGAGTTCCCGCTATTAGCCCCAGCTTCTGCCAACCTGAAGGTAAAAGGTAAAGGTTTTCCCCTGACATTAAGTCCAGTCATGTCTGAGTCTGGGGTGTGGTGCTCATCTCCATTTCTAAGCCGAAGAGCCGGCGTTGTCCATAGACACGCCCTAGGTCATGTGGCCAGCATGACTGCATGAAGCGTTGTTACCTTCCCACCGGAGCGGTACCTATTGATCTACTCACATTTGCATGTTTTCGAACTGCTAGGTTGGCAGAAGCTGGGGTTGACAGCAGAAGCTCACGCCACTCCCCAGAATCGAACCTGCAACCTTTCAGTCAACAAGCAGAGCAACTCAGCGCTTTAACCCACTGTGCCACCAGGGGCTCCCCGACCAATCTAGCAGTTTGCCAACCTAGCAGTTTGAAAACATGCAAATGTGAGTAGTTCAATAGGCACCGCTTCTGCTGGAAGGTAACGGCATTCCATGCAGTCATGCTGGCCACATGACCTTGGAGGTGTCTATGGACAATGCTGGCTCTTCGGTTTAGAAATGGAGATGAGCACCACCTCCTAGAATCAGACACGACTGCACCTAATGCCAAGGGGGAAATCTTTATCTTTAGTTAGGGAGGAAAGGGAGAACTATATGATCTGTCTAAATCTTCAATAACTTAACTGCTATGGAAATGACTAGTGGTTGCAGAATTTGAAACCAAGCCTTTGGAAAACAACCAAGCCTGAATGTGTTTGCGTGAACAAAAAACGTGGTATTTATTTATTTCTTATTATTTATTTCAGATATTTGTACCCCGCCCTTCTCAACCTTCGGGAGGACGGGGGACTTAGGGCAGCTTCCAGCCAGCAACAATTCGAAAATAAACCTCAGCAGCCTTGGCCTATCGGCTCCTTAATCGATTTTAATTGTTCATTAATTTAACAATCTCCCCAGCTATCAGCCTGTAACAGTTTAATAGCTGTTGCAAGTGGTGGTCTTCTTATGTACCGCAGCATTCCCAAGTCCACTTTGCCTCCTCAGAATTCAAAGGGAGACGTCCAGTTGTGCATTGTTTGCCACATCAGAAGGCAGGATGTATAAACTGGCCCTCCTCCAGCTTCCGAGATTCACGCTTCCTTCCCTAGAGCAGAAATTTCCATTGAGATAGAAACATGCAGGAGAAACGTGTAGGAAGTAGGTTTTCTGGGAGTCTTGTAGGACTGAGGAAGATGGAAGAGGCTTCCTGAACTTCAAAGAAAAGTAGTCTCTGGAATTGACTAGATTCCCCTCCCAATTTCAAGGAGATATCAACTTTGTCCAAAAGAGGAGCTGCGATCTACACATCAATTGCATGAGAGAGGAGAGACGGAGCAGATAAAAAAATGGGTGCCTTCCCTTGCCATAGCTGCTTCTCAAAAGGCCTCACCAGACATGGTTCTGCCACCTTTTCTCCACCTTGTTGTTCATTGTGCAAGCAATCACTTTTGAAGAATGTGCAATGCATTTTGAACTGCACACTTACTTGGTCCCTGACAAAATTGGTCTTCCTCTGTCCTCCTCCCCAGAGGCTACAGCTTTTCAGCAACCTCAACCATATATATTATGTCTATATATTACATATAATACAGAATCATTTTACAAAAGCACTTTTGGCAGGCAATCCTTCCAGCTTCCAATAAGCGTGCAGCCTTTTAAAAAAAACACCAGGGAGAAAATTGTCGGCATTTCCCTGATCCCACTTTTAGGAAAATAAAACAGTCTGTTTATAAGAATGTTCCATTGAGGATGTGAGCATGTTGCTCTTTTGCATCAGGATGGATGAAGAGTCCAGTTGCCCGCTCCACTACCATAAAGTCGTCGGGACTCAATTCTCAACTCATATTTGCCTGCCAGACAATCTCTGCTTCCCCACAGGCACCGAGTGGTTTGCAGGGATAGCCATCTGATGTCTCAGCTGGGACTATGCGCAGGGCTGGGCTCAATGCTGTCACTCACCAGGCACTCATTGGATTTTAGGCTGGCTAAAGACTTGCAACTGGGCAAGGAGGCCAAGGACCCACAGAGGCCCAGCATGGATGGAGTTGGGTCCTTTCCTGCAGAGAAAAATGAAAGAGTTGTAATTTATTTATTTATTTATTTATTTACAATATTTATATTCCACCCTTCTCACCCCACAGGGGACGCAGGGTGGATTACAATGCACATATATATGCCAAACATTCAATGCCATTTAGATATACAACATATATAGACAGCCACAGAGGCAATTTAACATTCCAGCTTTTTCTGGCTTCATGAGAGTACGCTCAATTCCAGCCACAAGGGGAGCTGCCACTTCACTGTCCACTTGTGACACCGAGTCCTTTGATGAAGTACGTCCTCATTCTTATGTGTGCAGCTGGAAGGTTTTATGGCATTGTAAATTAGTTAAATCAGCCTCCCCACATAAAGCAGTACTTAAATTTCCTACTAGACCAGCGGTTCTCAACCTGGGGGTCGCGACCCCCCGGGGGTCGCAAGGCAGTCTCCGTTAGCCCCGCCCCCTCATCAAAATGGCTCCCCACAGGGTGGATGGCTCACGTTCCCCGCGCCTCCCCCCGAGCCCGGCGGGAAGCGCGAGGAAGCCAAAATGCTCCCCGCAGGGCCCAGGGCCTGCCTGGGAGCACGGCTTGGCCTCCTCGCGCTTCCCCCCGAGCCCGGCGGGAAGCGCGAGGAGGCCAAAATGCTCCCTCCCGCAGGGCCCAGGGCCTGCCTGGGAGCACGGCTTGGCCTCCTCGCGCCCCCCCCCGAGCCCGGCGGGAAGCGCGAGGAGGCCAAAATGCTCCCCGCAGGGCCCAGGGCCTGCCTGGGAGCACGGCTTGGCCTCCTCGCGCCTCCCCCCGAGCCCGGCGGGAAGCGCGAGGAGGCCAAAATGCTCCCCGCAGGGCCCAGGGCCTGCCTGGGAGCAACGTTTCCCGCGCCTCCCCCCGAGCCCGGCGGGAAGCGCGAGGAGGCCAAAATGCTCCCCGCAGGGCCCAGGGCCTGCCTGGGAGCACGGCTTGGCCTCCTCGCGGGCGCTTCCCCCCGAGCCCGGCGGGAAGCGCGGGGAGGCCAAATCCCGCTCCCAGGCAGGGCTTGGGCCCTGCCGGGAGCATTTTGGCCAGCTGGCGCTTCCCCCCGAGCCCGGCGGGAAGCGCGAGGAGGCCAAAATGCTCCCCGCAGGGCCCAGGGCCTGCCTGGGAGCACGGCTTGGCCTCCTCGCGCCTCCCCCCGAGCCCGGCGGGAAGCGCGAGGAGGCCAAAATGCTCCCAGGCAGGGCTTGGGCCCTGCCGGGAGCATTTTGGCCAGCTGGCGCTTCCCCCCGAGCCCGGCGGGAAGCGCGGGGAGGCCAAATCCCGCTCCCAGGCAGGGCTTGGGCCCTGCCGGGAGCATTTTGGCCAGCTGGCGCTTCCCCCCGAGCCCGGCGGGAAGCGCGAGGAGGCCAAAATGCTCCCCGCAGGGCCCAGGGCCTGCCTGGGAGCACGGCTTGGCCTCCTCGCGCCTCCCCCCGAGCCCGGCGGGAAGCGCGAGGAGGCCAAATCCCGCTCCCAGGCAGGGCTTGGGCCCTGCCGGGAGCATTTTGGCCAGCTGGCGCTTCCCCCCGAGCCCGGCGGGAAGCGCGAGGAGGCCAAAATGCTCCCCGCAGGGCCCAGGGCCTGCCTGGGAGCACGGCTTGGCCTCCTCGCGCCTCCCCCCGAGCCCGGCGGGAAGCGCGAGGAGGCCAAAATGCTCCCCGCAGGGCCCAGGGCCTGCCTGGGAGCACGGCTTGGCCTCCTCGCACTTCCCCCCGAGCCCGGCGGGAAGCGCGAGGAGGCCAAAATGCTCCCCGCAGGGCCCAGGGCCTGCCTGGGAGCACGGCTTGGCCTCCTCGCGCTTCCCCCCGAGCCCGGCGGGAAGCGCCAGCTGGCCAAAATGCTCCCGGCAGGGCCCAAGCCCTGCCTGGGAGCGGGATTTGGCCTCCCCGCGCTTCCCGCCGGGCTCGGGGGGAAGCGCCAGCTGGCCAAAATGCTCCCGGCAGGGCCCAAGCCCTGCCTGGGAGCATGGCTGGCTGTGAGGCCGGAGGCAGCCATGTGGGCTGAAGCAGCTTTGCCAGAAGCAGGCTCCTTCCTCACGCTGCTTCTGTCCTTCCTGGGCCCAGCTGGGCCCCAACGGAGTGCAGTGAAGGAGGACCTCAGCTCAGCGACCTGCCTGCCTGCCTTCCCGTCTGCCTGACTTCCTGGGCCAAGAGGTGAAAACTCTCATTATTATTGTTGTTGTTGTTGTTGTTGTATTATTAAGGCTGGATGGCCATCTGTCAAGGGTGCTTTGATTGTGCTTTCCCTCCATGAAAGTAGAATGAAGGAGGTTGGACTATATGGCCTTTAGAGGTCCCTTCTAAATCTGTTGTTTTTGTTATTATCTATGGGTGGTCATCTGTCGTGGGTGCTTTGATTGTGCTTTTCATGCATGAAGGCAGAAGGGAGTTGGACTAGGTGGCCCAAGGGGTTTCTCCCAGCTCGTTTTTGTTGTTGTTGTTGTTGAGGCTGAATGCCAAGTTTGGTTTAATTCCATTTCTGTTTGAGTTCAGAATGCTCTTTAATGGCAGGGAAACTATATATCCCCAGAACTCCCAAAAGCCAAGGTCTATTTTCCCCAAACCTCTTTGGTATTTTCTGTTAGGCATGGGATTTCTGTATGCCAAGTTTGGTTTAATTCCATTTCTGTTTGAGTTCAGAATGCTCTTTGATGGCAGGGAAAGTATACATCCCAGTAACTGCAACTCCCAAATGTCTTGATCTATTTTTCCCAAACTCCACCAGTGTTCAATTTTGGGCATACTGAATATTTGTGCCAAGTTTGGTCCAGATCCATAGTCATTTGGGTTCACAGTGCTCTCCGGATGTACATCTTCCATAAATCACTGTCAATTCCTCCCAATCCCCTCCATATTTTTTTTGTTGGTTATTGGGGTTCTGTGTGCCAAGTTTGGTCCAGGTCTGTAATTCGTGGGAGTCACAGTGGACTGTGGATGTCAGAGGTAAACCAACTGAAGGTACTGCAGATCCCACCATCCCTTGTCCATACTCCCACAAACATATTGTTTTTGTGATTAATCACTATGCTTTAATTATGTTCTATTTCTACCAATGAAAATACATCCAGAATATCAGATATTTACATTACAATTCATAACAGTAGCAAAATTACAGTTATGAGTAGCAACGAAAATATGGTTGGGGGTCACCACAGCATGAGGAATTTTATTTAGAGGTCACGGCATTAGAAAGGTTGAGAACCACTGTACTAGACAGATGCAACTGTCTTTCAGGTTGCATAGGTCAACAGCAAGCTAGACTATTAATGATCGGGAGCTCACTCTGATCCGGGCTGGCTTCGAACTCATGACCTCTTGGTCACTAGTGATTTAATGCAGCTCGCTACTAACTAGCTGCGCCACAGCCCGGTCCTAATTTTAGCAGGGTGCTCCAGCAGAAGCTTAGAATTACATTGATTACTGTATACTACATATTGTCCAGACTAGGATATAATCTCAAAAGTTGAGAGCCATTGTTTATACCCATTTTGGGTATAGGTGAGGCTTATTTCAAACTACAGTTGAACCTCTTCTTGTTTGCACTTTTCGCACAAACCTCTGATATTATGTATTGGTCACACTAACTGAGGGACTATTTATTGATTGATTTACGACATTTATATGCCATCCTTCTCACCCCAAAGGGGACTCAGAGCGGCTAACAAGAGAGAGAGAGAGAGAGAGATACATACACACATACACATAGAATATATGTTATTAGCATAATACAATATCAGTATTAAATATTACTGTATTGTACTATACCATTATATTGTAATATTATTAGTAATATTACATGTAATATAAATATATAATTATAATATATTATTAGTATTATATTGCATTACATTATAATATTATAAATATATGTATATACAATATATTATATTATATTATTAGCATTGCACAGGAGACAAGGTGGAACTATCCCCTGACCCTCTCTCTTCATGGAAACTGTCACTCAAAAGTATGGTACAGTAGTTTGGATGTTGGATTGGACCATGGAAGACCAGAATATTTAATCATGGAAACCAGCTTGGAGGGAACTTGGGCAAGTCTTGCACTTCCATCCTAATTAGAAAGTTGTGGCAAGCCTTATCTAAATATGTCTTAGGAAGAAACAATATAAGAGGTAAGTCAACATGAAGGCATGAAAAAATAGCATTACCCCAAGCTTTACATCCCACAACATAAAAGGGGAAATGGAAGTTGGGGGAGATAAAATTATGAGTGCATCTGAGGAAGAAGATTGATATCCACAAAAGCTCGTGCTGAGCAAGTCACCACTGAAGATATATCTACTTAGGTTTTAAAAAAGAACATTCTTGAAAAATAATCCCGAACTATTTCGGAGGGCAGATAGGCACCAAAATAAGAAAAGACATTTTTAAGCACGTTAGAAGTAACTGAGAACAACTCCAGGGTTTTTTTTAATCATGCAAGTGGCTTCTGGTATAAGAGAACTGGCCGTCTGCAAGGACGTTGCCCAGGGGATGCCCAGATGTTTTACCATCCTGTGGGAGGCTTCTGTCATGTCCCTGCATGGGAAGCTGGAGCTGACAGATGGGAGTTCACCCCGCTCCCCTGATTCGAACCGCCAACCTTTTAGTCAGCAGTCCTGCTGACATAAGGGTTTTAACCCATTGTGCCACTGAGGGCTCCAGAACTTCACTTACATATCCCTTATCTGAAATGCTTGAGATCAGAACTGTTACGTATTTTTGTAATACTGACATATATATACATGTGTAATACCTTATCCAGGAGACGGGACACAAGTATAAATATAAAATTCTTTTATGTTTCATATACATCTATACATGTAATTTGCAAGTAATTTAATTATTTTAATTTAATTATCTAGTTATGTGTATGAAACAAAAGTTTGTATTAATGACATATACATGTGTGACGATGTGTAAATTTTATTCTTTTGGTTATGGTTTAAACAATGGTTCATGGATGGTAAGTATGGGAGATTATGTTTTGTGGGGGATGGTGGCTTGGTGTTAGCTGAGTTGCCATAGCAACAGGGGCGGAGCCAACTGCCTCTTCAGGAGGCAGCTGTGTTTTAAAAAGTCAGTCAGTGGCCGGAGAGCTACTGAGAAGACTGAATCTCTTGGTGGAGATTCAGGGAATGTGTCTGTAGCCAGTGTGCTATAGGGAAAGACTGAATCTCTTGGTGGAGATTCAGGGAATGTGTCTGTAGCCAGTGTGCTATAGGGAAAGACTGAATCTCTTGGTGGAGATTCAGGGAATCAATTGGTGACCAAGTGGTTGCAGAGAAGGACCCGGTACAGGGGGTTGTTGATTCTGAATTAAGAATCAAGGTTTGGCTGGGTTTAAGCCTGTTGTGCCAGCTGTGAAACCTTATGAAGTGTTTGCCTGAGTTTACTCATGAAACCTTTCCAATGTATCCATCAAGATTTGAGCCTCTTTTGAAGAAACAGTTAAACTTATTATACTGCTGTTAAAATAAACTTGTTACTGTTCTCCTCAAGTCCTGCCTGATACAGTTTCTTCTAAGTTGAACAGCTTGCAATAGTGCAGTCAGCCAGAGATAGTAAACGCTACGCTATCCACTGAATAAAACCTTCTGTCATTAATAGTTCCTTTATAAAATAGCTCCTAGGCTGATATTGATCGTTGCCCGGCTTCCCTCATAGATTAGGTGGCAGTGGGTGTTTTACCACTCGCACCTTTACAATTGGTGGCATTCGGTGGCATTAAAACGGTCTCCTTTACAATTGGTGGCAGCAGTTTAATAACGACCCCTTCACAGACATCAACAGAAATCAAAGGTGCCACTATCTCAGCCACTTATTTAGATAATTTTGGAATATTTTGGTATTTTGGATAAGAGAAAATCAACCTGCACCAGAACTTTAGTCATATCCAAAGCAGGCAGAATATAATTATTTGCCATCGAGTAGTAACTGATGGTAAAGAGACAGTCTCAGAGCAGCAAATAGGAAGTCCACTACATTGCAGAGTATGAAATCTGAAAGATCTGTGCATATTGGATTCTGACATTGAGTAAAAAAGGCCAGAGTAGGTGATCAAGCAGTATCAGTCTCCTGGGAATGGTGCATTTGTCCATGCAAGTAATTTACACAGCACACATATATGCCCTAGGACACCGTTTGAGGATAGTAATGATAGCATAGCCTCAGAGGAAGAACTCGATTTGGTCCAGAGTTGAGCTCCCAAGCTTCTGCTTTGTTTACATCTCTGCCCTCAAAAAAGGAAGCACAAGACAAAGAAGGATGCCTCTGAGCACACCTAGAGTCAACGTGTTTCCTCAAAACCATGTTGTACTTATCGGAAACTTGGCAGGAAAGACTGTATTGGACAGAAGCCATGATAGCAAGATAAACATGAGTGGATACATCTTGTTTTCTAAAGAAAACACTGGTTGTTCTTCAAGCCACTAAACATTCTTACCCAGAGGTCCCCAGGGTTCTTCATGCTTCCCTTCGCCCATCCTCTGGGAATCTGAACTCAGGCTGATCTCTGCTGAGAGTTGGTCTGTACTCATAAAGCTGTGCCTGATTGGAAAAAAAGAGAATTGGGGGAAAATCACAACTACTGTCCATAATTCAAAGTAGTACCAGAAATAGGATATTCTGAACACAAAACCACAGTAGATTGCATATGTATGAGAGTTGAATGAAAAGTAATCCCTCCACCTTTGTAACTACTCAACAGATGGCAGTACTGGTATGCGGCAGGTACCGACGTTTTCAGTAGGTGTCACCCCAAAGGAGATTCATCAGATAACCCTTGTAGTTTTCATGTTGGAGGTTAGTTTGGTATTCTCACCATTATTCTAATTGGTAGTATCAAGGTGGCCAATTGAAACATTCACACCTAGCTCCAAGAGACCAGAGTTCTTTCTCCCACCCTGGTCATTCCACAGATATATAAACCCAGTTTTCCTAGTTTCCAACAGACCTCACAACCTCTGAGGATGCCTGCCGTAGATGCAGGCAAACCGTCAGGAGAGAATGCTTCTAGAACATGGCCATACAGCCCAAGAAACCTACAACAACCCAGGTACACAAATGTACTTACCTTCTGTATATTTTGGCATCTGGCCGACCTTCATTACTATTCAGAGTACCCAGTGAGGGCCACTGATTCACCAGGGGTGCTGCCATTTCCTTGGAGAGCTGAGTGAACTGGGTGTTGTCAGAAGGGATGAGGCCCGTCCTGAGGGCAGAGCGGGAGGAGGGAAGTCTGGTCAAGCAGGAGGGAATGCAACCTGTCAGCTCAGGGCAAGGGAACAAGAGGAAAAAATGCAGTACACCTACCCACCCCCCGCCGGTCTCCAACTGTGGCAAAACATAGTCATTTTGAGACCAGTGGTACCCTCACCTCAGTCTTCTGAAGTTTATTTTTCTTTCTAAAGTTTTTCTTGTTCACTAAGGTGTGTTAATTTTACAAATAAAGAACATATGGTTTATAGGATTATTATTATTATTATTATTATTATTATTATTATTATTATTATTATGGCAATGATTTGGCTCTCTGGATGCCTTAGGACTGTAACTCCCATCAGCCATAGCCGTTACCACCAATGGTGAAAGCAGAAACTGTACTACCTGAGACTTCTAAGGAACCAACAACTGAATGAAAAACTGCTGGTGACTTTCTACCACTGTGCTATAGAGAGTGTCCTAGCCTACTGCATCTGCGCATGGTTTGGTAACTGCACAGTGGCAGATTGGAAGGTGCTCCAAAGGGTCACCTCTTCTGTACAGAGAATCATTGGTTGCCCTTTCACCTCTTTGGAAGAACTTGATCGGTACCGCACCCTTAAGAAAGCTCAGAGCATTCTTGGGAATTCCTCTCACACAGCATATTCTTTTTTTTAATTATTACTATCTGGCAGGCGTTACAGGGTGACAAAGATAAGGACAAACAGACTGAAAAATAGCTTTTCTCCTAGAACTGTGGCTCTATTGTACCCCAACGGTTTTGTATTGATGTGGCATTGGGGGCTATGTGGTGGTGGTTGGGGTCTGGAGGGATGGGTGTGTTGTTTTGTGATGTGTCCTGGGGAAAGCATTTAATTTCATTGTACAATAGCACAATAACATTAACACTATTCTATTCTATACTGGGATAGGCCAACAATGAGCTGTATGATTCCCATCAATGTGTTGATCTAGCCTGAGTATGAGCTTCTTTTCTTTGATCTAATTTCCTTGGTCTTTTGCTTCCTTCTGATCTAAAGGCATTTCTTCCTTGTTCAAATAAAAATTATAATTTTTCCCTTTGGGTTGCTGTGAGTTTTCCAGGCTGTATTGTCAAAACTCATAGCAACCGAGTGATCCCAGCCATGAAAGCCTTTGACAAAGTATTTTACCTATGCTTGGACTGCAACTCTCAGAAGTTCGCCTGATTGATCTATCTATCTACCTACCTATCTATCTCTATCTAATCTATCTATCTGGAGGATTGCTATGAGTTGCAATCCTGGAATAGGAAATTTGAAATAAGCAGGGATTTGGATGTTCTCAAAGAAATCCAAGGAGAAGAGAGCTTGCATCTTGGAAGAAGTGCATTTGGATCATCCTCCTCTCCTAAAGGGCCTGGTCTAGGGGATGCTGTCAGATGCAGTCCAGAAGAGAGTGTGGATATGCTATTGTGTGTTTTCTTTGCTGGGGGAGTTGTTTTTCCACATGCACTGTAACATCTTGTTGCTTTTTTGGCTTTTTAAGTCCCTTCTGCTGTGTTTTTCGGTGTTTTTATGAGTGATGGTCACTCGTTGGCCTGATAGGTGTATTGTGTCCAAATTTGGTGTCGATTCGTCCAGGTGTTTTTGAGTTACGTTAATTCCACAAACAAAAATTATTTATATAGATTTACTATATTTATATATAATTTTTGTTTGTGGAATTAACTATATTTGTATACCGCCCTTCTTAACCCTTTGGTGACTCAGGAAAACAAAGCTAAAGTATGGCAATAGCACAACACACTGAACTGATTTGGCTTAAAGCAGCCTTCAACTACATTAACAGAAGTCATGGGATACTCTGGAGCTTCCTCAAACCTCTGGAGTAACCTGAGACTTTCGGTGCATGTAACAGACTGTGTCACTTCCTAAGTCTAATGTATTTTTACAGCAATTGAAGCAAGCTGAGGATGAAGGGGGGAGGAGAGAGAAAGGAAATTGAGAAACAATTGAGAAATCAAGATGACATAGGATTAATTTAGACTATGCTTCTTCCAAAGTGGGGCAAATTGCCATTGCATAATCCATTTATGGTAGGAAAACAAAAGTAAAGGGACAGTGGGATACATAGCTGCAGAGATGAGGATGTAGGTGGTGGCAAAGGAGCAGCCGCCCCTAGGAAAAGGGCAGGAGAGTATAAATAGCGTGAGAAAGAATTCTCGATAATTGTCTCATGGTTTACCAAACGTATAGACTACTAGCCGTTCCCTGTGACACGTTAGTGTGGCCCAGTCTGTGTATATGTGTTTTGTATGTGTACATATGTGTATATATTTGTGTATATGTGTATATATGTGTGTTTGTGTATATATGTGGTTTTGTGCATGTGTTGGAGTGTATTTTTTGTTTTTTGGTTTTTTAAGTCTCTTCTGCTGTGTTTTTATGAGTGATGGTCACTCGTTGGCCTGATATGAGTATTGTGTCCAAATTTGGTGTCAATTCATCCAGTGGTTTTTGAGTTATATTAGTCCCACAAACAAACATTACATTTTTATTTATATAGACTAGCCGTCCCCTGCCACGCATTGTTGTGGCCCACTCTGGTGGTCGTGGGGGTTCTATGTGGGAGGTTTGGTCTATCATTGGTGGGGTTCAGAATGCTCTGTGATTGTAGGTGAACTACAAATCCCACCAACTACAACTCCCAAATGTCAAGATTCTATTTTTCCCCAAACTCCACCAGTGTTCATATTTGGGTATATTGAGTATTCGTGCCAAGTTTGGTCCAAATGCATCATGCTGTGCTCTCTAGATGTAGGTGAACTAAAACTCCAAAACCAAAGGACACTGCCCACCAAACCCTTCCAGTATTTTCTGTTGGTCATGGGAGAACTGTGTGCCAAGTTTGGTTCAATTCCATCATTGGTGGGGTTCAGAATGCTCTTTGATTGTAGGTGAACTATAAATCCAAGCAACTACAACTCCCAGACGACAAAATCAAATTTTTTGAGTGAAGGACATACATTGAGTTGTTAGGTGTCTTGTGTCCGAATTTAGTGTCAATTCGTCCAGTGGTGTTTGAGTTATGTTAATCCTACAAATGAACATTACATTTTTATTTATTTAGATATGGACTCCCTAACGTTCCTGCTTCAAGACCAGATGGAGAGACAAAAAACAGAACTGGACACTGCTGAAAGAATATCTCCAGACAATGAAAGTTATAAATTTTGTACAGAGAGAGTAGTACTGACAAGAGGCCAGTTAACAAGAAGACAGAGGAAAGAAAAGAAACAAAAATCAAAGTTAATAAATAGATAAATAATTCAAAATTTAATATAGAAAAGAAAAATGGTGAGTGCTGCAAGCAAGTTAAGGAGGAGGAGAGGAGGAGGAGGGGGAGGAGGGGGAGGAGGGAGAGGAGGAAGTAGTAGTAGTAGTAGTAGCAGTAGTAGTAGTAGTAGAATGGACCAGAAGACAGCATTACCCCCAATCCCTATGTATCATCTCCACTTCTCTTGTTGTTTTTCTTTTTTATATTCTTTTTTCTTTCTTCCATTTCTTTCCTTTTCTCCCTTACCCAACTCCCTACCCACCCAATCTCAATTTTTTTAATGCAAATAATGAAAATTCTTGCAATAAAGATTTTTTTTTTAAAAAAAAGAGAGAGAATATAAATACTGGTCCCACTTACAATTGTTCCTGCAGTTCCAGGATGACTCCTTCCAGCTCCCGTTTCTCTAACTGATTCTGCACCTTTGCCTCCTCCAGCCGCAACTGCAGGCGCTTGTTTTCTGCCTCCAGGTCCTTAAGCTGGGACTCTCTCAGTCGAACCAACTCCTCCAAGTAGCCCTGGGATGCAAAAGATATGTCAAGAAATACATACATGAATTATTGTGATGAGGGAGAAAAGGGACCTCGTTGCAGAGAAATCCCTTCTTGGAAAGATTTACCTTATTAACAAGAAGAACAGGAAAGTAAATAACTGCGGGTTTAAATAACATTTATTGCTACTATCAGATTGAGGGCCCTTCCACACAGCCATATAACCCAGAATATCAAGGCAGAATAATAAAAAAATATCTGCTTTGAACTAGTATATCTGAGTCCGCACTGTCATATATCCCAATTCAAAGCAGATAATGTGGGATTTTTTATTCAGCTGTGGGGAAGCAGCCTGAGACAGTAATGGCTACTTTTTGAGCAAAGAAAACTGTATATCAGAATGGGCATGCAGTGACCAGTTTGGGCACTCAGTCTCTAGTGCAGTGGTTCTCAACCTTGCTAATTCTGTGACCCCTTAATGTCGTTCCATATGTTGTGGTGACCCCCCCAACCATAATATTGTTTTTGTTGCTACCTGATACCTGTCATTTTAGTACTGTTATAAATCGTAATGTAAATATCCGATATGCAGGATATATTTTCATTCACTGGACTAAATTGAGCACAAATACCCAATATGCCCAATTATGAATGCTAGTGGGGAGGGAGGGGAGGATTGATTTTGTAATTTGGGAGGTGTAGTTGCTGGGATTTATAGTTCATCTGTAATCAAAAAGCATTCTGAACTCCACCAGCAATGGAATTGAACCAAACTTGGCACAAAGAACTCCCATGACCAACAGAAAAGACTGGAAGGGTTTGGTGGGCATTGACCTTGAGTTTGGGAGTTGTAGTTCACCTATATCCAGAGGAGCACTGTGGATTCATGCAATGATGGATCTGAACCAAATTTGGCACGAATACTCAGTATGCCCAAATGTGAACACTGGTAGTCTGGGGAAAATAGACCTTGACATTTGGGAGTTGTAGTTGTTGGGATTTATAGTTCACCTATAATCAAAGAGCATTCTAAACTCGACCAACAATAGAATTGGGTCAAACTTCTCACACAGAATCCCAATGACCACCAGGAAATACTATGTTTTCTGATGGTCTTCGGCGACCCCTTTGACACCCCCTCACGACCCCCTCAGGGGTCCCGACCCCCAGGTTGAGAAACACTGCTCTAGTGTCATTCCACAGTCTTGGGGCGGCCAACAAAAAAGTCCTCTGAGACTTGTACATATCATCCTGGTGATAATTTTATACAACATTCTAAATAATGTTGTGCATGTAATGAAAATAGTGCACACGGGTCCATCAGAAGCAAAGGTGTCATTGTCTCCCCTACCTATGGATATTTCAGAATTCCAGAAAAGGAAAAACCTATATACAATAAAGAGACGGCATTTTCCATAGAACTACATTAAAGGAAGACATTGCTAAATCCATCATGCTTGCTCTGATCCTGTTAATTATCACCCCTGATGACTGAATTTACTTTTTTTTAAAAAAGCACATTAGATGGAAAGATATATTTCATATTGAATATTTTGGGCTCCAAAAGATACATATGCTTTGTGTTTGAGATTCAGGTACCTTTTGTGCATACACAATGCGGAACTTCTGCTCCATCTTGCGCCATTTATTGTACCAACTGTCTTCCGCAGTCACTAGAGGGAGGTAAGGATGGTCAGGTGAACTGTCCTCGCTTGTGCTGCTCTCCAAGCTCCGGTGGTCCTCTTCATCGCTCAGGTAATCATAGCTGCTGGCAGAGAGCGTCACGTTAGCTGTGTTAACAGTTCTAGTATTCTATCTTAAATTTTCAAGTGGTACATTTTAATAGTTCACTATTTCTCATGAGGAAAAATAACTCCTTCTGAGGAGCACCTTTTCAACCTAACCCACATCATCTCGAACAGCATTGTTTTAAGACTCTATAACCTAATTCTACTATACTACATCAGATTACAGGTACGAAATACCAATCAGAATCACGCTGGAGACTTGTGTCTTTGTCAGTGGAAATAGAGCTGCAAGAATTAGAATTGGCTAGTTCCATAATGTCCCTGTACAGTCAAGGTCTGCTGTTATGCTACTTCACATGGGACCTGGCAAAGTGACTGATGTGCATCAGTTATGTTGTACATCTTTTTTTTTTATTTTGGAGATTTCTATGCTGCCTTTCTCCAGAGCAGACCCAAGGCGGCTCACAACATATTTTAAAATGTACATACAAATATTAAAACCCATGTGGAATATTCAATTTTGCTTAAAACTGTCCATGACTGTTGAAGCAAATAGAAACGTATCAATACTGAAACAATCACTATCACATTATCTGCAATCACACTTTGGTGCTGCTTTGGTAATGTACAATCCCACAATCATTCTTTTGCACTGCCTTATTAACCCTACCATATATGGCCTTCCCATAGCATGCATGTCTTTCAAATTTTAATTTTTTTTACCACGATTGTTCAATTCTAGCAAATTGATATGGAAATATAAAACAAAAAATTAGTTGAAGTATTGTCTGGGAATACTAAAGGAGAGAGGAGGAGAATCAAGACCACTCAAACTACATGATTGAAAGAATATCACAACTTTGGTAGAAGGGACCCATTGCACCAGTGGCAGTATTAGAACAGCAGTGCTATTGGGAGCCACTGACAAGCTTTATCTATCAGTGAAAAGGAGTACTCCACTAATGACTGCAATGCAAAGAGCAAAAGGACAGACACATCATCTGATATGTATAAGAAAACACACTACCATCCCGCTGTCATTGGGATTTACCAGCCTTGTGATAAAGTTCTTATTATACACTAGCTGTCCCTTGCCACATGTTGCTGTGGCCCAGTCCGGTGATCTCAAAAATAAAGTAATGAGAAAGTGTTGGCTTCTAATATATGCGATGTCTTGATGCTTGTGGATAAACAGTACTTCTTGTTGTTTCTTTGTCAGTGTTTTTTAAAAAATATATTTTTTATTATTTTATTTCTTTGTCAGTGTTGATGTAGAGATTGTCTGGTTTGTCTACTCTGGAACATGCAACATATTATTGTCCTTCTTTAGGGGTCCCTGTCAAATCTATGATACTATGTGTGTGTGTGTGTGTGCGTGAATCATATATATCTATATCTATGGCTGGATGGCTCTTTGTCAGGAGGGCTTTTTTTTACGTTTTCTTGCCCTGGTGAAAGGACTGGATGGCCTTAAGTATTTTCTGTTGGTCATGGGGCTGTGGGAAGTTTAGCCCAATTCTATCGCTGGTGGGATTCAGAATGCTCTTTGATTGTAGGTGAACTATAAATCCCAGTAACTACAACTCCCAAATGTCAAGGTCTATTTCCCCCAAACTCCATCTGTATTCATATTTGGGCATATGGAATATTCGTGCCAAGTTTGGTCCACATCCATCATTGTTTGAGTCCACAGTGCTCTCTGGATGTAGGTGAACTACAATTCCCAAACTCAAGGTCAAGGCCCACTAAACCCTTCTATTGTTTTTGTTGGTTATGGGAGTCCTGTGTGCCACGTTTAGTTCAATTCCATCATTGGTGGAGTTCAGAATGCTCTTGGATTGTAGGTGAACTATAAATTCCAGCAACTACAACTCCCAAATGACAAAATCAATTTTTGAGTGATAGTTACTTCTTGGGTTAGTAAATGTCTTGTGGCCAAATTTGGCGGCAATTCGTCCAGTTGTTTTTGAGTTATGTTAATCCCACAAACGAACATTACATTTTTATTTATATAGATTATGTAACATACATCATGAAAGAGAATTCTGGCTCACTTCCACAAGCTTCCAGCAAGAAGAAAACTATCACATTCCTCTCCTTGCTGCACTTTTCTATTTGCAGGGATGTTATATTATGCTTTATTTTATGCGGGGAGCATTCCAAAAATGTATCTCCACAAGGACACATACAGTAATACAACATATTGACCGTTTTAAACTGCTGCTACATAATCTATATTAAATTCTCTGTATTACATTCTTTTAAATTCAGAAATGGCACTAAGGAATAGAGGAGAAAAGTGAATGGAGACATCTTTAAACATTATTATATGTTAGCATAATATCTGCCACTGAATCACAGAAACAAACAAACAAAAAGATTTGATTAAACACACACAAAAAGATCTAATCAAACTTTGAATGTTTCAGAACAAATAACTGGCCTCTACAAGTTCAAGAATATCAATTGTCGTTCTCCTCATCTGGAAATTCGCTAAACTGTGAATACTCAAAAGACTACTCAAAAATGTAGTTGCTGTTACCTCTGAGTAAACTTCAGGTATGGTGTATAGTCAATAACCACAGGTGTCTTGCCATCCATGATCTCCCCTTTCAAGCAGAAACTGCAGCACAGGAGAGAATACAAGCAAAGTCAAATTATCTTATAGTACCTCACAATGTCTTTGGGAAGTAATGGAATACAGTAATTCTGTGTGTGTTATCTTAATGTCTACCACTAGAATGTCCAGGTTGAGGGAGGTGAGTTATATACGAGGGTTGAATGAAAAGTAATGCCTCCACCTTCATAACTCCTCAACAGTAGACTCTCCTCTACAGTTCTGTTTTGGTGGGGAGCCTTAGCATTGAATGGTTGTGTTGTTAAAGTGCGAAGTATGGAACCCTGAGCAGACAGTCAGTCAATGCGACTTAAGCAATGTGCAGTCATTGAGTTCTTGATAGCAGAAGGTGTTACTTCAACATCTTTAAACTTACTCACTAAACAACACAGAGTACTCACATCAACACAATAACCATAAACAGCTTGCATTCTCCGATGAATCTCCTTTGGGGTGACAACGTCTGCTGTTAAGAATTCAATGATTGCACATTGCTTAAGTCATTTTAATTGTTTTGCAAAATGTTAAAAGGGAGGGGGGTCTATCTCTGCCTGTTACATTGCATTTGCAAATGCTTGCTCAAAAAGCCAAGTTTTCATTGTTTTGTGAAATGTTAAAAGGGAGGGGGCGATCTAATCTCCCTGGGAAGGGGGTTCCACAGCCGAGGGGCCACCACTGAGAAGGCCCTGTCTCTTGTTCCCGCCAAAGAAGAAGGCGGAACTGAGAGCAGGGCCTACTCAGACTACCTTAAAGTCCCAACTGGTCCATAAGGTGAGATATGTTCAGACACAACTTGAACCTTTAAATGAACCTTAGAACAGATTCAGGAAACTGAAAGGATGTGTAAAATATGGTCTTCTAGTTGTTGGACTACAACACCTCTTAATCGTACCCAGCGTAGTCAGTGCTAAGACCTCTGAAGCCCCTACTACACAGCTGAATACCACACTGGAATATATGGTAGTGTGGACTCAGATAACCCAATTCAAAGCAGATATTTTGGGATTTTCTGACATGATATTCTGGGTTATGTGGTTGCGTGGAGGGGCCCTGCGAGGCTAGTGTTCAAATTCCCACTTAGCCATGGAAATCCATTGGGTGACCTTGGTCTAGACACACTCTCTTAGCATCAAAAGAAAGCAATGGCATATCTCCTCTGAATAAATGTTGCCAAGGAAACACCAAAGTAAGTTCACCTTTGGATGGCTGTAAGTGAGAAACCACTTGAAGGCACACAAAAATGTGAGCAATGAAATTTTAAATTAAGAACATCATTGCTTCTCGGTAGATAGATTTTTGGAAAATTACTTTCAGCAATTGTATTCTCAGAAGTGAGTTGGAAAAGCGACCGTACCTGAAGTCAATGGCACTGAGTCCAATCAGCATCCCTGTGAGGACTGTAGATTCTTCTCTCAACATTATTGCCCCATCATCATAAAATCTCCTGTGATGAGAGAGAAAAGCAATCTGTTGGTTAAATGGAGAGGGAGTAGTTGTAGTAGTAGAGAGAAGTGCTCTTTTTCCTTGGGGCAATCTGGCTTCCATAGTTCTGCTGTCACAAATATTTTTCACGAAACTATTGATGTTTTGTTGTAATTACCAAGAAACACTTTGGGCTTACACACTGACAGAGATAATGAAATTGTTAGGATTTTTTTTCTATTCACGTTGAGCCCCAAAATTCAGTCTGCAGCTAGAATTGCATTGGAGGAAGGCCTACAAACATTTCTGGGGAGATACTTTTTCAAGTTAGGTTTCCCATGGCTGGGCTCTTGTCTATAGGGCAAAAACATTGTTTTAATGAAGTCTCATATATCACTGACACAGGGAATAAAGATGACAGAGAACATCAATAGCGTACTAGATTGAATTAATGAAACTGTTTATATTGAACTAGCTGTCCCCTGCCATGCGTTGCTGTGGTCCAGTCTGTGTATATGTGTTTTGTATGTGTATGTGTGTATGTGTACCCCGCTAGCAACTCCTTCGGGAGATGCTAGCGGGGTACAAATAAAGTTAATAAATAATAATAATAATAATAATATATTTGTGTATATGAGTATATATGTGTGTTTGTGTATATGTGGTTTTGTACATGCATTATAATGTATTTTTTATTTTTTTGGTTTTTTAATTCTCATTTTTATTTATATAGTTACTAGCCATGCCCTGCCATGCGTTGCTGTGGCCCAGTCTGTGTCTGTGTGTTTTGTGTGTGTATATATTTGTGTATATGTGTATATATGTGTGTTTGCATATATATGTGTGGTTTTGCACATGTGTTGTATTTTTTGGGGGTTTTTTTTGGCTTTTTAAGTCGCATCCACTGTGTTTTTCAGTGTTTTTATGAGTGATGGTCACTCACTGGCCTGATAAGTGTATCGTGTCCAAATTTGGTGTCAATTTGCCCCATGGTTTTTGAGTTATGTCAATCCCACAAAGTAACATTACATTTTTATTTATATAGATACTAGCCATCGCCTGCCACGCATTGCTGTGGCCCAGTCTGTATATATGTGTTTTGAGTGTATATATATTTGTGTATATGTGTATATATGTGTGTTTGTATATATATGTGTGTGTGATTTTGCACCTGTGTTGTAATGTATTTTTTGTTTTTTTGGCTTTTTAAGTCCCTTCTACTGTGTTTTTCAGTGCTTTTATGAGTGATGGTCACTCGTTGGCCTGATAGGTGTATTGTGTCCAAATTTGGTGTCAATTCATCCAGTGGTTTTTGAGTTATGTTAATCCCACAAACGAACATGACATTTTTATTTATATAGATTTATCAATCAGGGGAACATACTGTAACATCAAACCGGGACAAATTGCTGTTTTGGAATACAACAACTAGAACGTCACCAGAGAATGTGGGAATTAGAATCCCAAAAGTAACATTTCTAGATTCTGGGTTACAGAGGCAGCCCAAAATAAATTCATAATTAGAAAAGGCTAAATATGAGATTATTTGTGCACTTAATGGTCAAAATATAAGGCGTGAAATTTGCCTTGCAATTGGGCTCATATTTTAATTTTTTTAATTTATTACACCTGGCCCGGCCATAAGGTTTTAAATTTTGTATGTTATTGCTTATATGTGAATTATATTAAGTGTATTGTTTTATTTGCTTACTGCTTTGTTGTTTCACTGATGTATTGTTGGGCTTGGCCTCATGTAAGCCGCCCTGAGTCCCTTTGGTGAGATGGTGGCGGGGTATAAATAAAGTATTATTATTATTATTATTATTATTATTATTATTATTATGAACAAGCCAAAGTGACTTGTAGGACATAATGTTGGGCTGAGACAGATCCATCGAAATAAAGCCAAAGGAAAAACTTGCAAGTCAGCTTGAAAAAACTGACCCAACTTTGTAAAGGCAGAGGGCATTTTGTACAATTCAAGTGCATCCTAGGGTCAATATATTTGCCTCCATGGAGTGAAGGATGCGTATTACACACATAGCAGCTGTTCAGACTGGATGTTAAACCTTCTTTCAAATCAGTACAAAATAAAGTTGAAAAAATAAATTGACCATTGTTCACAGAGAAGCAAATGCTATGGAAAATAAACGTATTGTAGCAACAATTCATTTTGATGTAAGCCTTGGAGGCTCTCACCTGGTGGTTCTGGTGTCCCGTAGAGCTGTTGCAATATACTCAGACATGCGCTTCTCCATCAATGCCACACGGATCCATGCCCGGCCCTAAAACATAAACGTTATTAGGACAGGCAGAAAGGCAACTGATAACAATAGTGAAAGTTTATGAAAAACCTATAATCGCTTCAGCATTGCTCGGTTGTTTTTTCTGATGTGTTGTTGGGCTTGGCCTCATGTAAACCGCACTGAATCCCCTTGGGGAGATGGTGGTGGGGTATAAATAAATTATTATTATTATTATTATTATTATTATTATTATTATTATTATTAACATGGATCTAGGGGCTCTTCCACATAGTCATATAACTCAGAATATCAAGGCAGAAAATCCCACAAGATGTGCTTTAAACTGGTTTATCTCAGTCCACACTGCCATATATTCCAGTTCAAAGCACATAATGTGGGATTTTAAACAGGAGTATAGTGTCTAGATCCAAGGAAGTCATAGTATCCCTCTATTCTGCCTTGGTTAGACCACACCTGGAATATTGTGTCCAATTCTGGGCACTGCGATTTAAGGCAGATGTTGACAAGCTGGAATGTGTCCAGAGGAGGACGACTAAAATGGTAAAGGGTCTGGAGAAGAAGCCCTATGAGGAGTGGCTTAAAGAGCTGAGCATATTTAGCCTGCAGAAGAGAAGGCTGAGAGGAGACATGATGATAAAAGGTAAAGGTTGTCCCCTGACATTAAGTTAAGTCATGTCTGACTCTGAGGTGTGGTGCTCATCTCCATTTCTAAGCCGAAGAGCCGTCGTTGCCCATAGACACCTCCAAGGTCATGTGGCTGGCATGACTGCATGATGATGGCCATGTATAAATATGGAACGGGATATCACAGGGAGAAGGAGCAAGCTTGTTTTCTGCTGCCCTGGAGACTAGGACACAAAACAATGGCTTCAAACTACAGGAAAGGAGATTCCACCTGAACATCTGTTGATAGACTCTATAAACTAGCTGACATTCCCTCACCCCTGATGTGTGATGGGAAGTTGTTGCCAACTGTGAGAGAAATAAAATTTAACACTGTGAAAGCCACCCACTGCATGGCTATCAGCCTCCTCCCAGTAGGCTTAAATCAAGGAAAAGCTTTATGAGAACCACCACTCCTCTTAATGTTCCCCCAGCAACAGCAAGAATATCCCTCTGGGCAGCTAAACCAGGAAATCCCAACTGGATGCCCCCACCCACCCCACAAGGGTCTTCCTCCAGGGGCAAACCAAGAATAGGCAACTTGGAAATCCCTGAATAGACTCAGAAGTGGAGTGAGGAGATCAAAAGACAACCTGGTAAAATGGCTCTACCAAGAAGAATCCTCCACCTTGTGTGACTGTGGAACAGAGCAAACAACTCTACATCTGTGTGCTTGCCCACCATGCCCTGCCTCATGCACAGAGGAAGAACTGTTTAAAGCTACAGACAATGCAGTCATTGTTGCTCGTTTTTGATCTAAAATTATTTAGCCACTTGTGTTCCCTTTATTTTATTAGTTTTATACTAATTTATTTATGCAATGCTTTTGACACAAAATAAAATAAATCATACTCTGTTTTATAGACGCTATAAATTTCATTAAGCATTAATAATATAGGCCTAAATCCTACTGGCATTCCCCATGAAAGCACACCCAGGGAATCAATTGGATTTCCTTCTGTGTTGAAGTTGATCCAATGGGCCTACTTTAGTTGGGACTAACCAACAGGATTTAGGCCATATATTATTTGTTTTGACTGTTTTGACTATTATTAATCAGGACAGCTTAAAGTTAAGCTCTCAATCCAAATCTGCCTTGATTATCTTCTCTAGTTTCCTATAATTAAATTTATTTAGATGTTTAGATGTTTAAATGGTTCATTCTACATGATTATATTAAAACAGGTCTTGATATTCAGTGCCATATTTTTGGAGATTAAAAAAATCTCTTTCATCAATGTTAATCTTACAATCTAGTGCATTACTGATGTTTTCTGTCATCTTTATTCCCTGTGTGAGTGACAGATGAGATTTCATTAAAGCAATGCAATTTTCCTTTAGACAGGAGCCCATCCTCTGGTGTTTGCATTTTGCTTTATAGCAAGTGGCCAATATTTATTTTGTTTGTAATAAACAAGTAAGACAATGTGTGAGAATTTTCCTAATAGCTAGAATACATTTTCTTCCCAAATTATTATTAGAATCACTACAATTGAAAAGACAGGAAATTACCGTATTTTCCAGCATATAAGACGACTGGGCATATAAGACGACCCCCAACCTTTCCAGTTAAAATATAGAGTTTGGGATATACTCGCCGTATAAGACTACCCCTCTTCCAATGTACACCAAATAAAAATTTAAAAGCATCAGATTTGATCTCAATATGGTAATTTTCCTATTACTGTACCTCCTTCTCTGCCTCTCAGATCTTGCACGTGCGCACCTCCATTGCTTCACTGCAGTCTTCAGGAGCAAGATCTGAGAGGCAGAGGAGGAGGTACAGTAATAGGATGCAAGGGCGGGCCAGAGAGGTAAAAGAGGTGTGTTTTTCTGAGCCCAGAGCCACTCTACCTCTTTTTTCCATACCCAGGGCACCCCGGACGCTTGCAGTTTGCTCCGCCCTTCACTTACACCTTCCCGGTGAGGCGCCCCTTCACCTCACCATCGAGACCGCATTAAGTCCACGAATCCTGATGAATGGATTTTCTTCTACCATACTTGTACAGCATCACCCTTAATGCTTTCATACAGTCACTGCATACGGCAGGGACGCGGCCACTGCCATTTTTGAGCTCCCCCACCCCCACCATATGCAGCAACCACAGATTCTCCAATCCAGATTGGAAGTTTCAGCACCCGCTCTATAAGATGACTCCCACATATAAGACGACCCCTGACTTTTACAAATATTTTCTTGGGTTAAAAAGTAGTCTTATATGCCGGAAAATACAGTACCTATGATCGGTGCAGTCCATCCACTATGTTTTGACACAAAACTCACTGATAGGATTTGCCTCAAGATTAGAAAGAAATGTAAGTGTGACTTGAGCACAAATGCAATAGGCAGCTTCCTTTAAATTCAGGTGTCTATAAAATGGAAGTGATGCTACAAAGATTTATTCCACCAATGAGGAAGCAATAGTCATTCAAGTTTGTTCATGACATTGCAGGATTGCTGGTTGGGTTTTTGGTCTGAATTTCTTAAATATTTATTTACTTTATTTATATACCGCTTTTCTCAGCCCTCAGGTGACTCAAAGCGGTGAACAACATCAATACAAAACATCACGAGACAAGTATAGGGCAATTAAAAACAATTGTAACATAAATCATTAGACATACGTATAACAATCATTAGCGCCTCAACAGTAAAATCAGAATCCAGTCTCATCATCTCATCCTATGTTCAATTACACTGTTTAATCAAATGCTTGTTCGAACAGCCAGGTCTTCACTTTCCTCCGAAATGGCAGCAGGGAGGGGGCCGATCTGATATCTGCAGGCAGGGCATTCCACAGCCGAGGGGCCACCACTGAGAAGGCCCTGTCTCTCGTCCCCGCCAAGCGCGCCTGTGATGCAGGTGAAACAGAGAGCAGGGCCTCCCCAGATGATCTTAGTGTCCTAGCCGGTTCATAGGAGGAGATGCATTCGGAGAGGTAAGTAGGGCCAGAACCGTTTAGGGCTTTATAGGCTAACGGCAGCACTTTGAATTGTGCCCAGTAGCAAACTGGCAGGCAGTGGAGCTGGCGCAATAGAGGAGTAGTATGCTCCCTGAGTGCCGCTCCTGTTAGCAACCTGGCTGCCGAACGCTGGACCATTTGAAGCTTCCGAGCAGTCTTCAAAGGCAACCCCACATAAAGAGCGTTGCAATAGTCTATACGGGATGTAAACAGAGCGTGGACTAACATGGCCAAGTCAGACTTCCCAAGGTACAGGCGCAGCTGGCCCATGCCAATATTAAATAGACCCCTGCCACACAGCTGAATAGAATCATGGTATTATTGAGTTGGAAGAGACCTTGTGAGCCATCCAGTCCAAAACCCTGCCAAGAAACAGGAATGTCCCATTCAAAGCACCCCCAACAGATGGCCACACAGCCTCTGTTTAAAAGCCTCCAAAGAAGGAGCCCCCACCACAGTCTGGGGTAGAGAGTTCCACTGCTGAACAACTCTCACAGTTAGGAATCAAGGTATTGGACTAGATAGCCCATGTGATCTCTTCCAACTCTATTTTTATTCTATAATAATAATAATAATACTTTATTTATACCCCTCCACCATCTCCCCAAGGGGACTTGGAGTGGCTTACATGAGGTCAAGCCCAACAACACATCCATAGAACAAAAAACAATAAGCAAAAGCAATACAATTAATATAACTCACATGTAAACAGTAACACACAAGGATTTAAAAAACCTATGGCTGGGCAAAATGTAATAATTTAAAATTTAAAATAATAAACGCTGGGCATGAACAGAGGAAGGATGTATCTAATAGGAGGGTTTTAAAAGAAATGAAGGGAGAGCAACCCAACGAGTAGTTAAAGTGCTACTGAGGACATTTTGCTGGGGATTATTTCCTTATTCAGGGAAAGCACAATGGAACAGCCACGTTTCAGGCTCCTTCTAAAGACTGCCAATGTGGGGGCTTGCCTGATATCCTTAGCAAGTGAGTTCCAGAGTCGGGGGCCATCACAGAGAAGGCCTTCTCCCTCGTCCCCACCAATCTCGCCTGCGAAGGGGGCGAGAGCAGGGCCTCTCCAGATGATCGAAGAGATTGTGTGGGTTCGTACACAATGTACTCAATAAAAGGTAAGTTTGGAAGAGAATAAATCTTGATGTATACACTGTCTGGGACAGGTAAAATGGTTGTTATTACATTAAGACAGATCCCTATTTCAGATTACATAAGATTACTGGGGAAGGATTTTAGATTTTCCAGCTGATTGGCTGAACAAAGGCTGGAGAGGGTATAAAATAGATGCTTTCTGAGCAGCAAAGTATCAGATTTTGCTCTCAGGAAATTGGTCCACCTCTGTTGCCAAGCAATTGCTGATAACCCAAGCTCCTACGTGGGTAAGATATTCTTTTCTTAATGGAGAATGTAATCTATATCTAACAATATGTCACTATAGAAATAAGATTATACGGAGCCACTAGGAGGGAAAGTCCAACACTTTGATATATAATTCTAATGCTAGTGGAAATTTGTTAAGAACGTGCTTAGGCTGATTCAAAGTCTACATAAACTGTGCTGTTGAGGACAGTGTATTGATCTGTGCTGTGTTGCTAAAATAAATATTAGTATGAAACTGTAACTTGTTCTCCTGTTAATTTCCTAACATGCCAAAGTTTAAGAATACTTTAGAAAATCAGATTTGACTATTGGAGAAGACTAGATTTTGTAGTTTTGGAGCATTGAGATTTACATTGTAGAGTCCATGCAGATTGTCACCGGGTGGCTTGAGGCTCTGGAATCATGAGAGTTATAGTTTGGCGAAGCACCAGAAGTCTTTGGCAAGGAAAGCCTTAGAAAGGCCTTATGAAGCTACAACTCCCATGATTCCCCAGCATTGAGTCATAGCAGTTAGTAGTATGCAACTGCATGAATTCTATGGTGTAGATGGACTCTTAGACAGACAGGAATAAGACAAAGAACTTTCACTCTTCTATATAAATAAAAATGTAATGTTTGTTTCTGGGATTGATATAACTAAAAAACCACTGGACGAATTGACACCAAGTTCAGACACAACACACCTATCAGGCCAACAAGAGATGATCACTCATGAAAACACAGAAAAACACAGCGGAAGGGACTTAAAAAGCCAAAAAAGCAAAAAGATGCTAAAGCGCATGTGCAAAAACAACTCCCCCTAGCAGACAAAACACACAATAGCTTATCCACACTCTCTTCCGGACTACAGCTCCTAACATCCCCTAGATTTGGCCCTTTAGAAGAGGAGGAGGATCCAAATGCACTGCTTCCAAGCTCCAAGCTTTCTTGTCCTTGGATTTCTTTGAGAGCATCCTAATCCTTGCATATTTCCAATTTCCTATTCCTGGACTGCAACTCTCAGCAATCCTCCAGGTAGATAAGATAGATAGATAGATAGATAGATAGATAGATAGATAGATAGATAGATAGATAGGTAGATTGATCAGGAGGAATGCTAGGAGTTGCAGTCCAAGAATAGGTAAAGAAGGAAGAAAGGGGAGAAAGAGGAAGAGAAAGAAAAGGGGGGAAGGAAGGGAAGAGGAAGACAAGGAAGGAAGGAGAGAATGAAAGAAAAAATGGAAGGAGAAATAAAGGAGGAGAGGAAGAGGGAGGGAAGGTTGGCCACAGTAACAGCTAGTCTTAAATATATTGGGGTGGAAGAATCATGTCTGTTTTAACTCACTTTGTGGTATGAGGGTAGTTATAGGCTAAAAGCACCTGGAGGTCTACTCTGACTCAGGCCCCTTCTAGACTGCCATATAATCCAGATATTTTTTTGTCGTGTCAGGAGCGACTGCAAGTCGCTTCTGGTGTGAGAGAATTGGCCGTCTGCAAGGACGTTGCCCAGGGGGCGCCTGGATGATTTGATGTTTTATCATCCTTGTGGGAGGCTTCTCCCATGTCCCCGCATGAGGAGCTGGAGCTGATAGAAGGAGCTCATCCGCCTCTCCCCGGATTCGAACCTGCGACCTGTCAGTTTTCAGTCCTGCCGGCACAAGGGTTTAACCCACTGCGCCACCGGGGGCTTTGAACTGGATAATCTGAGTCTACACTGTCATATGATCCAGTCCAAAGCAGATAATCTGGATTTTATATGGCAGCGCAGATGTGGCCTTAGAAGAAATTATAACTTGTAGTGCAGTCCTTAATATTTTTGTGTATTCATACGCCAATGAGCTAACACAGAGAGTAAAATGACATTTTAATCTCCCGAATGTGATACTTATAGAATTATGTTCAGTATAAACAAACAGATGATACATTTTTCTTCAGATTTCATAATACACCTTTAGCCTGCTAATAATACACCCTTAACCGGTTATTCCATGACCAAGAAAATCAGTCTGGCAGAGGAATCTTAATTCAGCACCTGAAAATTGGACAGTGGCAGGGCTGGCCCTGACAGGTATTTCTCTAACCTTGGCTCTGGAAGTGCTGATGTTTTCCATGTTTTCAATACTACTGACACAGTTATTCGGAACCTTGCTGCAGGCCAGGCGGATGTAATCCCAGAAGCCACGTTGCCCGTCAGAGCTGAACCAACTGACTGGACCTGAAGAAAAAGGAGGAATAACTATGATTGGCTATGAAGAGCAGAACCAGAGTTTATCAGCCATAATACTGGATGGCTATGGTTAGTACTATCAGAACAATCCATCTACTGGGCAAAGAGTTTGGAGAAAGTAATATGGGCTGGATCGAAATGTTTCTTCTTTCACCTTGATTAGAAGGCTCCTCAGCTCTTCCTCACTTTCGGCCATCAAAGTGGTATCATCTGCATATCTAAGGTTGTTAATGTTTCTTCCAGCAATTTTAACCCCAACCTTGCATTCGTCAAGCCCCACACATCGCATGATGTGTTCTGCATACAAGTTGAATAGGTGGGGTGAGAGTATACAACCCTGCTGTACGCCTTTCCCAATCTTGAACCAGTCTGTTGTTCCATGGTCAGTACTTACTGTTGCTACTTGGTTCTTATACAGATTCCTCAGGAGACAGTCAAGGTGGTTTGGTATCCCCATAAACTGGTAAGTTTATGTTGTTTAACATTGTTCTTCATTTTAAATATTGTATTGTTTTTAATGGATTTTTTTGCATTAGAAATATGTGCAGTGTGCATAGAGATTGCTTAATGGTTTTTTCAAACTGTAGTCAAGCCCCCAACAACCTGTGGGACCGTGAACCAGCCCTCAGCTTAAAAAGTTTGAGGACCTCTGATTTATGTAGTGATCCGAACTACATAAAATGAGATTGAAATCCAACATTATGTAGAGAAAGATTACATTCAAGGACCGAATTCCTTTGCATTTGTTCAAAATTAATTATAGAAAAGCATGTTTTAATGAAAGCTGAACTCCATGTGCTTCCTACTTGTTGCTATGCCCCGTTTATAGTCTAAAGCACTCTGAATAGTAGGAATTTCTAATCAGCAATTGGAGATAAGGATCTGTTTCAAGCTTGGAGATAGCTGTCACATAGAACCGAGCTCTAGATTGGAGCTCTGAAAGCTCTTGTATGGAATTGCAACTTAATATATTTATTATTATTATTATTTACTTTATTTCTACACCGCTTTTCTCAGCCCTCAGGCGACTCAAAGCAGTGAACAACATCAATACAAAACATAACAAAACAAGTATAGGGCAATTAAAAACAATTATAACATAATTCATTAACATCAGTATAATAATCATTAGCGCCTCAACAGTAAAATCGGAATCCAGTCTCGTCATCCATTATTCCGTATTCCTATGTTCAATTACACTGTTTAATCAAATGCTTGTTCAAAAACCAAGGTCTTCACTTTCCTCCGAAATGCCAGCAGGGAGGGGGCCAATCTGATATCTGCAGGTAGGGCGTTCCACAGCCGAGGGGCCACCACTGAGAAGGCCCTGTCTCTCGTCCCTGCCAAGCGCGCCTGTGATGCAGGCGGGACAGAGAGCAGGGCCTCCTCAAATGATCTTAGTGTCCTAGTCGGTTCATAGGAGGAGATGCGTTCCGAGAGGTAAGTAGGGCCAGAACCGTTTAGGACTTTATAGGCTAAAGCCAGCACTTTGAATTGTGCCCGGTCGCAAATTGGCAGCCAGTGGTGCTGGCGCAACAGAGTAGTATGCTCCCTAAATGCCACTCCTGTTAGCAACCTGGCTGCCGAGCGCTGGACCATTTGAAGCTTCCGAGCAGTCTTCAAAGGCAACCCCACGTAGAGAGCGTTGCAGTAGTCTATAACTTTATATAGTGACACTCTAGACCAGGGGCCCTCAAATTAAGGCCCGGGGGCGGATATGGCCCTCCAAGGTCATGTACCTGGCCCTCGCTCAGGGTCAACCTAAGTCTGAAACGATTTGAAAGCACACAACAGTAGCAACAACAACAGTGCTATCTCATCAACCAAAACCAGGCCCACACTTCCCACTGAAATACTAATATGTTTATATTTGTTAAAATTGCTCTTCATTTTAATTATTGTATTGTTTTAAGTGTTTTTTGCACTACAAATAAGATATGTGCAGTGTGCATAGGAATTAATTCATTTTTTTTTTCAAATTATAATCTGGCCCTCCAACAGTTTGAGGGTCTGTGACCTGGCCCTCTGTTTAAAAAGTTTGAGGACCCTTGCTCTATATTAATGACTACACACACCCCCTCAGGGGAAATCTCACCCATCAGTTGAAGACTTACCATGTTCCCCCTTAAAACGATGGCTGAGAATGTGCTCTAAGATGGCTGCGAAGTTCACAAACTCCTCCGATGAGTCATCAATTGGTTCTATGGTATATTTTTCCAGCAGCGTCTTCACGGAGAATCTGCACATAGACAAAAATATAACTAGGTTTGAACGAGAGATAAACAGGAAGGGACCTGATTTTTCACTAGTTGGCTCCTCTCTCTAAGTCTTGATCTGGATGACAACTAGCGGTGCCTCTAATTTTTTACAGAAATATTTGCATAAGGGCAACACTGTCCCTTTTTGCTTTTGGAATGGCATACGCATTTTAGTTGATTTCATTTGAAGCAGATCATAGCAGTTTCTGTTCTGGAATATACAAAGTGATCTCTTAGCCTTCATTCTTGGTTGGAATGACATCTCTGATACTAGCAGATGGGTGCATTATAACCACACCACTACCAGCAGATACCATACTGATTTCTTCTGCAAAACAGAGGCAATCTCTCTGAAACCATTTTCTTTTCTTTCTCCTGCATTTCTGCCTGGTTTCATGCCTATGATTCCAACAGGCAGCCTGCACTCCATCATGCCTCTGACACCCACAACACCAGCTGGCCTGCAGTTGGTTTGCCAGAAAATGAAAATAGATAGAAGTAGATGGATTTCTTTCTATCAAATTGTGCTATACTGGATTAGTGAATGTGGCTGGGAAAATCAAGAAGGTGCGTTCTCAGTTATATCCAGTTCTAAACTTCCTTAGATTGAGGCTTGTGCTTAAATCTAATTGTGACACCAACAAGAGATGATGATGATTTATTTATTTATTTATTTTACTTTACTTTACTTGTATATCGCTGTTCTCAGCCCGAAGGCGACTCACAGCGGTTCACAACCAACAAAAACAGCAGAAATTCAATGTCAGATATAAAACAGTTAACAATCCCGCGCAGCACACAATTAATAAACACTTATTACAATAACTAATCACTATCATCTCATCCACAAAAACATAATCCAAACTCGTCAACCATTTTCCATTCCTATGTTCATTACCAATTATTGCACTAGTTATTCGAATGCCTGCTCAAACAACCAGGTCTTAACTTTTTTACGGAATACCATTAGAGATGGTGCTAGCCTAATGTCCGTGGGAAGGGCGTTCCACAGCCGAGGGGCCACCACCGAGAAGGCCCTATCTCTCGTCCCCGCCAACCGTGCTTGAGAAGCAGGCGGGATCGAGAGTAGGACCTCCCCGGAAGATCTCAAAGCCCTGGTGGGTTCATAGGCAGAGATGCGGTCAGATAGGTAACTTAGGCCGGAACCTTCTTTGTTTTGTTTTGGCATTGAGGGAACAGATGATGATGATTTATTGCCTGCCTTTCCCTACAGTCCAAAGCAGGACACAACGTTAGAACTTTAAGATCTTCTGGGGAGGCCCTTCTCTTGATCCCACCTTCTTTGCAAGTGTGGCTGGTAGGGACGAGAGACAGGGCCTTATATGTGGTGGCCCCCTCGGCTGTGGTACTCCCTCCCCAGTGACATCAGGCAGGCCTCATCCCTTCTGGGTTTTAGGAAAAAACTGAAGACTTGGATCTGTGCACAAGTGTTCAAAGAATATGTTCCTATGGTTTCAACATGGTCTGGATTAACTATTATTAACAGGGTTATGGACGAATGGAACTATGCACTTTATATGATTTTTAAATTTTGTATACTGATGTATAGGGAGCCCCCAGTGGCACAGTGGGATAAACTGCTAAGCTGTTGAACTTGTTGACCAAAAGTTCGCAGGTTCGAATCCAGGGAACGTTGTCAGCCCCAGCTTCTGCCGACCTAGCAGTTCGAAAACATGCAAATGTGAGTAGATCAATAGGTACCGCTCAGGCGGGAAGGTAATGGTACTCCATGCAGTCATGCTGGCCACATGATCTTAGAGGGGTCTACAATGCCGGCTCTTCGGTTTAGAAATGAAGATGAGCACCAACCCGCAGAGTCAGAGGAAAGCCTTTACCTATACTGATGTATGTTTATGATTGCTTAATGTTAATAATTTTAACTGTTTAATTTTAATGGTTAGTACTGGTTTTTACAGGTATTGGATTTTTGCCAGAATTGTAAGCCGCCTTGAGTCCAACACACACATACAATACAGTAAGCAATTATATACATAACAAATAAGTAGTGGAGGATTGCGAAGGTTGCTATTTCCAACATAAAATTGACTAGATACTCTTAGGTGAAACCAATAGGATTTACAGGCTGTTCATTTTTAAGCTCAGATTTAATTTCAGAAAGAAAAACTATTTTCTAGCTATTCAACTAAAATATAAAAAAGACACCTAGAGGGATAATTGTCCTGTGTTTCATGCGTGCGTTTCAAATTTTACCACCACACAATGTAGTAAGCCTTGCCGAAATGATGAATACAAACCACTTTGAACACTGTTGGAGCATTATGTAAACACTAACAGCACCATTCTATGAATGCTTCTTCAAAAACAAGCTCTACTGTGTTCAAAGGATCTATTGTAGTTGGGTTAACAATAGGATCAAGGCCATTTAAAAAAAGACACAGTAACACATGATGATGATATATTATAATACAATTATAATAATGGGTAAGATCCAGAGTTTGGAATAAATGAGTTCAAAACTGTGCACTACCCAAATATTTTTTTACCTTCCTTTGTTTTGTTTTGGAATTGAGAGAACAGATCTGGAATGAAGCCCCGTTTCAAATATAATCTAATGAGTTAAAAATGGCACAAAATGAAAATTTTATGACACCAAGCAACACTGTCTAGTAAAGTAAGTTACTTAGTAAAAACTGCAGTGTAACTAATTACTTGGTCTTGTTAGAAAGTCTTAATTAACTCTGACATCTGATTGGATAACAGCTAATATATAATCAGTTAGTGGAGGTTCTCCTCCTTCTCTTTTTCAATATTTCAATTAATAATATAGTAAAATAATTATATTTGTAATTTTATTGGTATATGTTTACTTAACTATATATGTTTACTTTACTAATGGCACTCCATTTATTTTATTTAAAACATTTATATTCCGCCCTTCTCACACCGAAGGGGACTCAGGGCGGAGCACAGCATATATACAGCAAACATTTAATGCCAGGACAAGAATTCAATATATTTATTTATTTTATTTATTTATTTTGAACATTTTTACCCCGCCCTTCTCAATCCCCAGGGGGACTCAGGGCGGCTTCCAATTGGCATCAATTTGATACCGCATCATAAAATACAAAACAGCAATTATAACAGTTAGAAAGCATAAACATTAAGATATAAAAATTAAAACAGTATATTTACAGTCCATTGAGCTATTATCAGTCTGGTGGCTATTTATCTAGCCATACACTATTGAGTACTCCGCTTAACTTATCCAAATCCATTTCCAAGCCATAGTCAAACATTATCAATTATCCTTTAACCTAATTGTTCAAAGGCCTGGTCCCACATCCACGTTTTAACCTTCTTTCTAAAGGTAAGGAGGGATGATGATGACCTAATTTCCCAGGAAGTGAATTCCACAGGTGGGGGGGGGGGTACCACCAAGAAGGCCCTGTCCCTCATCCCCGCCAAACATGTTTATGCATACATTATTTTCATTGTTCTTGTTTTATTGTATTTTAAAGTTAATTGTATTGTTTTAGTCTGTTCTTGTTTTATTGTATTTTAAAGTTAATTGTATTGTTTAATCTACTTTTTTTAATCTACTGCTGTAAACCGCTCCGAGCCAAATTGGGAGTAGCTACTCCCAATTTGGCTCGGAGCGGTTTACAGCAGTAGATTAAAACAATACAATTAACTTTAAAATACAATAAAACAAGAACAGACTAAAACAAGTCAAATTTTAATTAATAATAATAATAATAAACATTAAAAACATTTATCTCAATATTAAAAAACAATTATCTCATGCAGTCATGCCGGCCACATGACTTTGGAGGTGTCTACGGACAACGCTGGCTCTTCGGCTTAGAAATGGAGATTAGCACCAACCCCCAGAGTCGGCTATGACTGGACTTAATGTCAGGGAAAAATGTTTACCTACCTTACCTTCACCTATGTTTAACTTATGAATTAATATTTTCCATTTAAATAGTGCTGATGTTGAATACAGATAACAGATTTGCATGATCACTGTGTTGAAAAGTTAACATTACCATTTAAAAGTACAGAGTGATTATTTTAAAAAATAATGTCTGCTGTAGTCATTGCCAATTTATTCAATATTCATGACACATAATGACTCCTAGTATCATAAAGCATTCAGACAGGCGCGGAAGCGCCTGCATTTCTTCATGATTGACTGATCTGCTTATAGCTCTTTCCAATCAGATGGATGTGGATAATGTTGTCACATCTGTGGGCTCTGGGAGGATCAGACTAACGGCTCTTAACACAATAACCAAAGATTTCAGTTGCATTTTCACCCTCTAGGTTCACTTCTATTGCACTTAAGGTATATAACCAGAACAGTGGGATGAAAAAAAACATAGTGGATGGGATCTTCTGAGGGCATGCCATTTGTATTTATGCACATTCTAAAAGTCAGTCCTTGGGAAAGTTGAGATGAGGATTGCCGCAAATATTATACTGAAAGAATGGATTCCTCAGCTGTCAGACGCTTAAGAAACACCTGTCTCTTCAATGTTCTACAGAAAAAATGATATTTTTGGTGTGAACTGATGGCTAGCGGTATTTGCCTTGAATCAATCTTTTGCTTGTGAAACTTGGTGGTTGCTGTCACAGGATGTCCAACTCTTTGTTTGTCACACAATCAGATGTTCCCACCTCAACATCTTTAAACTTACAATGCACAGTACTCACATCAACACAATCACCATAAACAGCTTGCATTCTCTGATGAATCCCTTTTGGGGTGACACCTTCTGCTGTCAAGAATTCAATGACTGCGCGCTGCTTAAGTCGCATTGACCGACCGTCTGTGCAGGGTTCCATACTTCGCACTTTAACAACACAACCATTCAATATTAAGGCTTCCCACAAAAATGGAACTGTAGAGGAGAGTATACTGAACAAGCCAGTACCTGCCGCATACCAGTATTGCCATCTGTTGAGGAGTTACGAAGTTGGAGGCATTACTTTT